GATAAAGGCTATTTGATATATCATATATGTGTTTATTGCCCTAGTTACACAATCTTACAACTTCTTAAGGCCGGTATCGACAGTGCGAGGCTGCTCGCTGTGAATGCCTCGTGGCGAATGCTCGGGCTTTGCCTTGGAACACGGCTAACCTCACATTGTGCGAGGCAAATGCCTCATAGCAAGCAACTCCGGTATCTACAGTCCAAAGCAAAGCCCGAGCATTCGCCACGAGGCATTCACAGCGAGCAGCCTCGCACTGTCGATACCGGCCTTTGCTATTTATTTCATTTTCAAATCAAAGGTACATCAACCACAATTGGAACCTGGGTAACAAAGTGGTTATAGTGTTCGTCTGACAATAATACATTTGCCAGTTTAATCCTGAGAAAAGTCTGCAGCTTTTGTGATCATTCAAACTAGACCTAGCATTATTTGATTATTGGGATTTTAATAAATGGTCCTGGCTAAAGAAGCAAAGCAGATGATCTTTGCATGAAAATACGCACCCTAGTGTGTAAGCATTGTGGGAATATAATTTAAACCTCATTTGTTCATTCCTGAAGTGGTTCTGCTTTACAGAAGAATGCGTAGATATTACTAATTTTGTTGTTGTACAAATCTGTCAAACCCAAACTGTTGGTAGTTTTTCAGAAAAGTTCATAGGCAGATAGTTTTATAAAGAATTAAATAATCAAATAACCTTTGGAACCCTTGAAAAAAAATTGTGTCAATTCGAATGGCGTGTGGGAGGGATGAGGGAAAGGTTCCCAAAAACACTAAAAGTCACACCACTAGTGGTATTCAATTAATCCAACAGCAATTGTTTTTGGAGATGTCTGTTCGAAATGACAAAAGCAACGGTTGTTAAGAATAGTTCTTATGTGCAAGTGCATCCCGCTCGCCACTCTAATTTACAAGATATACACCTTAGGTTTTACCACACCTTATAGCTATTCTTACTGAAATTCTTCTATTATGTGAATGGTTCAGTACAAGTTTTAAACCATTTTTTTAAGGATTATGTGATATCCAAGCTGCAGCGCCGTAGCCACACAAGATACGCTGCTCCTGGTAAACGCATAGCAGTACTGATAGTAGATGATGTCAACATGGGACCACCTGAACCTCAAGAAGTCATGCATCACTACCTAGATCATCAACAGTGGTAGGTTCTAACTTTGTGCATGAATAAAACTAGGCATTCCATTCCCATGATAAATTGCAGCCAGTCTTAGAGTGAAAATGGGCCTAGTTGAATTAAGCCGCCAACAGAATGTGCTGATGTAAATACCTGACTTATGTTGAATACACCAAATTCTCGTCAAAGTCAAACTGATAGGACGACTTATTTAAAACTATTTCATCTTTTACGCCGCATAAACTATCTCAGTGACAAAAACTAAGGAAGCAGAGCTTTAGACTGTAGCACTGTGAGTGGCTTACTAAACTATAATTTTTTTAAATAAAAACTGGCTACAGCTGGTCCATATATATAGGATTTCTACAGTATCCAAAGTCAATGGCCCTATCCTGTAAATTTGTAAAATCTAGCCTTGGTTAGAGATTTACTGGTTATGGAATTGATTACTACACTCTATTTGCAACTCTAAAGCGCAAATACCACTAAAGTAAAATAAATACTTTCAAGAAGTTATTATTTTCAATAAATTTAGAAGGCTACCTCTTTTTTAATGTATGAATAAAAATCTTTAGTTGGTCAAGAAATTTTTGGATACATCAATATATCTATGTCAACTTATAGAAATTGAATTGAAATTATAATTTTAATCTGAATTTTAATTTTAATTTGTTGATATTTTTTGTTTGATTTTTGTGAAAGTCCGTTGAAATACTCATAATCCCTGACAAATGTGGTTTAATGAGTGTGTCTAAGGGAAAGAAAGCATGTGTCATTTTTTCAGTGATTATCTCAGTATTTTAAAATTTAAATCTTCACATTATTATAACTGCGACATAATTTTCATCTGATTAAACAATAAATAGTTTGGTTTTTAAAATTTAAAGTCAGTGGAATATTATTACCCTGCTGCCCAGGTTTCGTACCAAGGACAACTCCATGGTGGCAGTTGAGGATCTTCTTCTGTTTTCGGCCTGTGGTCTTCCAGGGGGCCATAAGAAGCACATTTCTTCAAGAATTCTAAGACATTTCTCTTTCTTTGCATTGAGCCCACTGATTGATGAAACTGTTGCCAAGATATTTTCCACGGTGCTTTTCACAGGTTTTAAGGTAAGGATATTTGTTATTATGAGTAATAGGCCTACATTGTTAAAAGTATTGCAAGATAACTCTAACTGGTTTATTTTACTGTCAAGTCAATAAATTAAAGTCTGAGTTTATTGATTAAGTGTTCCAGTTTTTAAGTTTTATAAATGTAGGCCAGTTAAATTTGTTGAAAGGTGTGCAGAAAAGTTACCAAAAGTAACAAAATATTTAGGACATCACAAAACACGTAATCCTAAATTTAAACATAAATACATATTTCAAACCCCAAAACAGTCTGTAAAGAGAACTAATAGCAAAATACCCCCGCCGCAGCACACCTGCAGACTAAGCGAATTTCCATTTGACTGATTTGATTTACACTGAAATGTCTACTTACAAATATAACATTTATTCCCGATTTAAATAGAATTAGTTTAACAAGTACTTAGGTTTGCTGCATCAGGGAGGGTAAAACTGTTTTTTTTATGTTAATAGTTAGTAAGAAATAAAAACATTTTCCAAATTTGATCAAAATATGTTCATAAACAAGCAAACTACAACTGTTTACTTATTCTCCATAAGAATAACATGGGAATTTTAAATTTACAATTTTTTGGAATTTTCTCCGTAACCATTAGGCGCATAATAACGCTTCAATATACTAAATTATTTGTTTTTTTAAGCTCTACAAAATGGTTAGGAAAGAAATTGCTAAATTTTATGTTTTTTGGGTCAAAAATTTGAAAAACCTATTTTTACCCCATAAAACCCCCCATAAACCCCCGTTCCCATGGTCCGATCATGCTGGATCGCGAACTCGTTCGAATAAACGTAAGTTTACACGTTTGTACCAAATTTCATCAAAATCGGATCATTTTTGCTCGAGTTATCGTGCTAACGGACACATATATATATATATATATATGAATTTGAACGGATGGTGTTTTTGGCCTCTAGGGACCTCAAAACAAAAAAAAAATTGGTCCCGCGTCCAGGTCTTACCACGAGTACTACGGTAATAGCTTATTCCCTATATTGGAAATTCGCTAATAAGCCGATGTGCCTTCTATGAGAATGAAACGTTGATTCATTATTTAACAATGTCAAGGGGATTCAAAGATTAGGGGAGGAAAACACTATTTGCAGTGTTTTAATTCCTGAAATACACTCAAACCAAACAAATATTTTACTGTATCTTTGAGGAATATCAGGAGCCTCTGTTAAAACTGTGGATATTTTCTATGATTTTCATATTGATGTTTTAGTACATTGTGAGGATTATGGTTGATTAATTTTCATTTTCTAAATACCTGTAAATTGTTTAAACAGATGCTCTTGCCATTTCCGAATTCTACATATTGTTCACCCCTGGTTCTAGGATGTGCTACAATTATTAACAACAAGTTTGTTGCAGCGAAATGGATTTGCTACTGATGTAATGCCAACAGTGTTGTGTATTGTAGCAGCCACAACAGATGTTTTATCATGGGCAACAAGTGCCTTGCGACCAACCCCCAGTAAACCTCACTATGCCTTTACTCTACGAGACTTTGGGAAACTCATTCACAGCCATCTGCTGGTAAAACGTGAGAATATCGACAGCAAGAAAGTCTTCATAAGGTAATTATTTGTAATTATAGATTATCTGCAATTAATATAATATAACCTAATCTTAACCGAATGGTGATTACTTTATGTGAATCTTCCTTTTAAGATCACAGTCAGTTGGCACTGTGATTATAGTTCGCATATTTTGTATATATTTACCACCAACATTTTTTGTAGAATTCAAAAATATTATGACGTCAATTACATTGTCAAGTGATATTCACTGCCTAAAGTTTTTACCTTACTATGAAGTGGAATCTGTAGTGGTGGATACCAGAAATTATATTTGTGTTCTTCCAACAGCAGCAAAAGTCTATGTGTGAAGAAAATCTGCTCAAATCAGTTTAATATTGACAATTTCATGGAATAGTTAAGCATTACTAATTCTCTATTTCATCTTTATAGTATGGAAGTTTTTGTAGAAATAAGAGAGGAAGTTTTTTTGGAGGGAGGGGTCGAGAATCAGCTTACTGTCATAGAAGCAAAAGACTTTGAGACATTTTGCTTTTAAATATTTTTGCTAAGGGAATAATCACCTCAGCAAAATTTCCTTAATGAGATTATTTGTGTTTATTTGTATACTAATCCAAAACAAAAAGTAAACGATGTAACATCAATAGTTTGTAACAAATTCCAATACCCTGGGGGGTATGTATAAACACTTTAATCCTATGTAGAGTTTACTCCCTTGGTTATTCAACAATATGATATCCAACTCAACTCAAAAATTGTGATTCACTAACACCACAGTGTGTTTGGGAAATATACATTCTTCAATCATTTGTAATGTATTTTAATATTTTAAAGGGTCCCTATATATAAACATAAACTAAATTTATCTTCTTGAGAAAAGGTTTCTAAATGCCAAGAGTATTCTGTAGGTTTGAAGCCTATTTTACTTCACGTTGAATAAAAAATGAAAACTTAAACAAAATAAATAGTAAATGAAACCTTAAATTATGTACACGTATTGCTGTAAATAGTTTGGCTATGCTCACATTGTGTATCTAAGATGTAATCTGTTAATAGGTTATGGGTCCACGAGGCCCTTAGAGTCTTCAATGATCGATTGATCGAAACAGCAGATCGAGCACAGCTAATTGACAGGTTGAGGTATGCTGTTAAAGAATGCTTCAAAGAGAGTTTTGATGTTTCTCTGGATAGCCTTATGCCAAAAGGCCAAGAAGAAGTGAGTAGTTTTCTGTAAAATAGTGAAGGAACAATGAAAAGAAAGAGTATAACTGTGACGCTATTATACAGTTTTTTTCTGTGCAAAAATAAAGATGATTTGATTTGATTTGATTGTATGTATTAAAATCGGCAAAACTTGATAGACTCATAAACACTCTTGAGGTAACATTTGAGGATATGATCAGTGAAAATTTAGAATAGGTTGTGATTATTGTTCATGAACTATACAGCCATGTATAGTTCATACATTGAATAGTGTAAATGTGTACACATAGGAATAGTGTAAAGTATTTTAGATATGTTTGTTTCAGTACACATATTACTTACTGATGAGAATTTTAATGAGGCAAAAGGAAAATACTGTTTACTTAAATCTATACTTTTAGAGAAAGAGTGCTCTTTTCCATCCACCACCTTCCTATAATTATAATTCCTTCTATTCCAAAGATAATTCAAAGTCAAAACATGCTTTATTCATTATTTTGTACATAACCTTAGTACATTGAATGTGTCATACATTTCTTAAAACTAATCCTTGTAACTATTACAATATTCTTTTTTACATAGGTTTTTATGTTGTTAAAAACACCATCATTTCTGTTGGCAAATGTTTAAAGCCACTACAGTAGAACCCCTCATCTCCGGCCTTGGTTTTACCGGTCCTCTGTTTATCCGGCCCCTTCCAGGAAGCCAATATAATTTTTTTTTCTCTCAGCTTACAGACGTTTAGATACAAACACTAGTCTTTGTGACTGCTCAAGTCATAAAATAAATTGTTCTCATTATTTATCTGATTGTTTATACATTTATTTGCTGAGTCACTATACTCAGTTGAGCTAGTAGGCCTAACCTCTTATCAGTTGGTTGATTATTTCCAAAGTGGGGTTAGTACAGTACAGTACGAGTACATTAATTTTTGTATTTCACAAAATGGTTAAGAATGTTGAGTAGAAATGCATGTACCATTTAAGTCCTAATGATCTTTAAGTACAATTTATTGTCATTTTTACCTCCATTTAATAGGTTTTGTTACCTGGAATCATAATATTTGTACATTTATTACTTAATGACTTTAACCTACAAATATTTTTTTTCCTTTTTACAGACATGTTTATTTTTCTAAAAATGATCCCAGAACAGAATTAAATGATACTTTTGATTGCATATATTGATTACCTATTATTATTAGGTATGAATTGTCATTTTCATAGTAGGTTGGTTTATCCGGCCAAATCGTTATCCGGTCAGGGACTTGGTCCCGTGGTGGCCGGATATGAGGGGTTCTACTGTAGTTATTTAAAAACTCATCAATTGTGCTGTAGTAAAACAATATGTAGCAGCTTTATTTTTCATTAGAAACTTTCCTTAAAAAGAATTTTAACTTATTTAAAAACAATTATTTTGAGGGAGGGGTACCTGTGTCCCTCTGCAAACGAGCTCTGTGTGTTTTAGAGGTAAGCAATACTCCCAGCTTTGAAATAATTCTCATGAAATACAAAAACAAACTTTTTAATTTGCTGCCCCACAAAATTGACTATCCTTACTCAGTCCACAAGCTTTGTGCTATGCAATCTTAATAGTAGATAGTGACTGGAAACATCATGTTTAGTGTCAATGGGAATACACCAACTGTCCTCGCAACACATGTTAAGGCATTAAAGTAAATTTTATGAATGCTTGTCACTTTATGCAATTCAAAGATTGGTATTTTTACTTAATGAATTAGATTTTGACTTTGTTATAGTCAAAATTGTCAAATTAGTAAAAAAGAGTAAAGAAACATTGACATAATATAATATACAAGAATATTTACTGCAATTTTACACAATATTGTAAGTACTTTCAATTATTTACTCAATTTTATGCATTAAATTATTGATGTGATAAAAATAAAAAAGTTAAAAAATTTAAAACTAACCATGTTTTAAGTTATGTCTAAATAACAAGGATTTAAGGGACTGAGGGGTCTTATCTATAACCAATTCTATGTTCACCGCAAAGTATAAAGCAACCATAAGACATGCATTTCAAATGGCAGTCTCAGGACCCGAAAAATGCTCCTTCAATGTTTCCTTACGCTTTTTTACTAAATGATTTTTTCAGACTAAATGATTTTAAATAACAATGACGCATTCATGTACGATTTGTATGTTTTGAATAAAGATTTACAGTATTTGATTTGATAGTCTTGTATATGGACACAGATAGTCTTGTATATGGATATGGAAGTCTTGTATATGGACACTGATAGTCTTGTATATGAAGTTTATTTTAATTATTTGAACTATTAATTTCATTTTAAAATACATTACTATAACCCAGTATAACGAAAAACCTTTTCTTATGTATAAATTTTACTATATAAAGAACGTTTTGTGTCAATAAAAAATAAACATTCGGATCCATCAAAACCGAATCCAGCCCCAGATCTGATTTTTTGTGGGTACGATAGGGCGTCGGTACTAGCTCAGATCCCGTGGGTACGGTATTCCGATATCCTGATCCGACCATCACTAATCTATACTCTGTTTTGTAACTTTGTTTACTGTTTCACCTTGTACTGAGGATTTAAGAACCTCTTTTGATTTCAGATTCAAGAGGAAAATTTAAGAAATTTAATTTTCACAACAGCATTGACTTGTGACAGTGAGGACAAGAAGTATGAAGAAGTCGGGTCTCTGGATAACTTTATGAAGGCCTTGGATCCAATCATTGAGAACTACAATAGCACTCAAGAAACAAAACGAAACATTGTTTTATTCAGGTTCACTTACACCCCAGTTATAATGTTTTATTAATACCTTAAGGAGTTTGTAGAATATTTTTACCCAACATAGGTATACCACGTTATTATTGAAATAAATATAACTAGACTAATATTTATTTCAAACCTTGCTTGTCATAAATTTTCAAATTATTTGACCTTTACTATGTTTTAGTAAAATATTGTACGTTAAATCAGCTTAGTTGTCTCTTTATGTAGGTAAGCTAAAGGCTTACAAGGTCAAATTAGTAGTAGACTTAGACCAATGAGAATGAATACACAAACCTTATAAGAAACAAAACTCCCATGTCAAAATATTCAGCCTGATATTTTTGAATTTTGGCAAGTTCCCGCAGTAACCCCTTGGTAGGAAAGGCGCTTCTATCGGGACTCCACAGCAGTGTGAGTGAGATAGAGAATAGGCATGGAGAAAGTGGCTAGCGCTTACCTAGCAGCAGCAGCGCAAAGCTCATGTTGGCGGCAAAATCCAGTCTGACTATTCCCCAAAAGCATTTAGCTTCTTATAAGGTTTGTATTCATTGCTTAGATAATCCAAATATCAAATTAGGGCTTCAGGAGATGATTGCTTCATTACATTGGTAAAAGTAATGGTAGACATTTTGGTTGCCTTCAGTGATCCTATATCTATCTGTAGTTTGCTTCAAAGATGAATTGCTGCAACTCATCCAATATTTAGGCCAATAGTGATGGTCAAAACTATAAATTTAAAATCTCAAAACCGAAACTGAAACTGAAACCAAAGGTTTTGTTGGTTTTTAGATTAACTATATGCCAGTATTTTCAACAATTCAACAGCCATTATTTGACAGTCTAATTCTCTCTGTCTGTATATATTAAAACTAACAAAGGAATAATACAACTTTTTGTTGATATATTCTTTTACCAAATAAATTACTCTCAAAGACCTTCCATCTTAACACTTATTTTTCCAGATTTTTCTCTGCAAGAAAATTCTTAGAAATGTTATCAAATGGGTCTACTTTCAAGAGTGACCAAATTTGCTAAATTTATTTTACTTGCAGATTTATATATTCTATCTTGATCTAGGTTTGCTCTAGAGCACTTGTCACGTTTGTGCCGAGTGTTGTCTATCAGTGGAGGCTCGTGTCTGATGCTGGGTATGAGAGGGTCTGGACGCCAGACTATCACTCAGCTTGCTGCACTCCTCTGTAAGGCTGACTTTCACCAGCCTTCTGTTGTGCACAACTATGGTAAACTATTCTATTAAATTAGAGCACCTGTTGCTCGAATTCGAGCAATTGCAAATTACAGGTGTTATTTAAAAACAAATAACAGTCGTAATATCCGATGACTTAAAAGAGTCAACTCAAAGATACTTTTACTTACTTGATACTTGGTGATCTCCCACTGGTAGCGCAGCTGCGCCGTGGTCGTCAGTTTTTTATGGCCTTTTTTTCTCTCAGATATTCTTCAATGGAATAATATGGCCTGTTCAATAAATATTCTTTGAATTTCCTCTTGAATTCATCTTGATCTTCAATGCTTTTGATATTTAGAGGGATCAAGTTGTAGATTAAACTTGATAAAAACTTTGGTCCGTCCTTTACTAAACTTGAGTTGACTTGATTTAGATGAATGTTGTTTTTTTGCCTTGTTGAGTAGTTGTGTATTGTATTGTTTTGTGAAAACGTGTTCGGGTTCTTCTTAACAGCAGATTCCAAAATAAATATTGCTGGCACCGTAAGGACTTTTGCTTCAACAATGGGTTTACAATGGGCAAGGTATGGAGCATTATAAATTATTCTTATTATTCTTTTTTGAGGAAGTAGTATTCTGCTTGCGAGAGGACTGTTTCCCCAGAATAAGATTCCGTAGTTGACAATACTTTGAAAGCAACCAAAGTAAATTTTCATTAAAACATCATTACAGATAATGTAATCAATCTCTCCATTCCAGTTATCGAAACTGAAAACGAACGCTCTTGTGTGTATCATGTGTTTACTATGAACAGCTGTTTTAGTATGCAATTAATACAAATTATTTGTTGGTTTAAGTAAACAAATCTTGTCTTCATAAGAAATACATTGGGATTTTCATGGCCGGAGGGCAAAGCCCGAGGACTTTTATTACAGGAATTGGTGAAAGGGTCTACACAAAAAATACTCAATTTTGACTCATCGTTTGTAAAAATCCGTCCATTATTAACGGAGGAGTAGTGTTTCGTAGAAATCGCCTTCACGTATTATTTATATAAGGATTACAAGCAGCTTGGAGTTGAGAAACATCCACTATTTCTTTGGTCTAATGTTGTCTAATTGTAAAAAGTAAAGTAATTGTTAATATATTCTAGGTACGCACATGTTTTTCAATTTATGTCACATTCGATACTATTGCAGATATACTTTTCTTAATATATGTTAGTTGTTAGTAGTCTGTAGTCTGTTTTAATCTTGTATATATGTTAGTTGTTTAATTGGGATGTTTTTGTAGGGTTTGAATTCGGTTATTTCATTTGGTCAAACAGTACTGGAGTACATCTTTACCTCATATCACTCTAACACATGTATAGAGAGACTAGTAAATTCAAATTTTTAAAATTGCGACGTGTTTCTGGAAACGTCTTAGAGATTAGTTGACATATGTTCACTTTTAAAATTGTAATACCAGGAAAGTAATAAAGTTGATAAATTATTTCTTCTTCCTACTTAAGAAATATAGGTATTACTAATATTAGAATTACATAATTCATAATTAGGTCCTCAACGGACTTTTTTGGATAAGTTTTACTAGTTTAGAGAAATAATAAAACAAATATTTTTATATATAATCTTTTTTGCAATACAAGACATTTTCTATTATTATTATAAGGAAAAAACAAAGTGTTCATAACGTTTCAGGATATGGAACTCAATCCTATACTAGGCGAGAAAGATTTAACAAAAAACCATGTTAGGGTAATTTTAGAACACTCTACTAAAAAAAGGACTTAAAAGGGTAAACATTACTTTATTTTCCTCTTTAACTTATTTAAGTCTTACATTTTATCTACGCTTTGCTCTTTCAGGTTTCTCAGAGTGGAGGGATGACTTGAAGAAAGTGCTTATCAACGCAGGAGGCAACAATACAAAAACTGTGTTCTTCGTCTCTGAGAACGAGCTTACCGACGAAATGTTCTTACAGGACCTTGACATGATTTTAAGTACTGGACAGATCCCAGATATGTTCTCATCATCTGAGCTGGAACGTATATATGATGTAAGTCTTCAACTCCAATTACAAAACTCTTCATTCAAACCATCCTCTAAAAATAAATAGATTGTAAAGACAGGACAAATGGTAATATAACATAAATAAAAACAATTTCATCCTAATTTGTTTGTATTGTATTTGATTTTTTTAACAAATTGAAAAGTTTACATATTTGATTTTTTATTTAGTACAAGTATTCATTTTGCATTTTATGTCTTTAGTTGTATAGTGGTGTTTATGATTTTAAGGCTGATTGGGTTGTTTTACTTTTTTCTAACCCCTTACAAGGTCATTCGAAAGCATCCTATTACCATGTTTCTCCTCTTTGCTCATTACATTTTTCATTCCAGATGGTTCGTCTTTCCGCCCAGGGAGGTAACCGGAACCTGGATATAAACCCTCTGACTGTTTTCGCCTTCTTTGTGTCTCGCTGTCGTCAAAACCTCCACATAATTCTGAGTCTGAGCTCCATATCTTACTCCTTCCGACGGTGGCTTTCTCTGTATCCTTCTTTACTCAACCATTGCACAGTCGATTGGGTGGAGGTAAGGGATTTTATATTTGGTATCATTGTACAGCGGTTGCGACGCTCCTTTCTGCACTGGGGAAAAAAATATTAAAAGTGCGTGCAGTCGCAACCATTTGCCGAGGATAGCTCAGCCTACTATGGCTGGGTAAAGTTCCAGGGTCTGCGATAAGGTCAGGGAAACCACTAGACCAAAAGCCGGGTCCAACCGGTATAGGACTGGCTCATACACGGGCACTGTGAACAAGTCAAAAACAAGTCACCAAAACAAACGTGCAATAATCACTACCAGGCCTACGCCGATTCTCCACACTCCTAGGGGGTCGTTGCTGACTACGCAACTCGGGCTTCGTCCTAACTATCCAATAGCCTAAAACTCGGTGAGTTACACAACGACTTGCCAATAAAAACCACAACGCGAGTTATCACCAGGCGGGGTCTACTAGGCCACTATAATCCAATACACAACTCTAATGCCCAAGCTAAGAATCAGACAATTTACTCAATAATAATACTATATAATAATACAAGTGCACTATAAGCAGAGTGACTACACCTCTAGTAGCTGGTCTCAATAAATACCAAGCTAAACAAGCAAAACTAGATGTCAATTGCACTACTATTAAATTATTGAGCTACTTAGTAGCAGATAAATAAATACTAAATACGATCCAAACACTAGATAAACATATTATCTGATAGCCGGTACTCCGCTACCCAAGCTACCGAGATAACGTGTTGGATTACCAAACAAGCTGTTCAGGTTAAATGAAAATAATCAAATGAATAAACAATAACAACCCTACTACTGCCACTGCTACTACCAACTTTATGTTACTTAGCTGGGCTTCTGTTAATAGGCTAATTATATTAGCTACTAGCCTACTGGCCACGTGCTTCCAACTACGCACGCTAAATCGTGCAGCCTAGGTTTGTCGGGCCTCAGAGTTATTAGTAATATAACTAACTCTTGGTACAACGCAAAATAATAACTACTACAGTCAATAAATTATATTATTTGCGCTCTAGCACCTGCCCAGAACCGTCAGGAATACACTTTAATATTATTCCTGACTAATATAAATCCTAACTACCGTCAGGCTTTGACCAGCTCGGTTACAACTCTAACTCTCGCAATAAAATCAGATATTAATATTATCAAACTAATAATATCGGCTCCTTAACCAAAATCAAAAGAATGTCGTCCACTCACCAGTAGTGGGTCTTAACACCCAACTTAACACCAACACGCCTTGAGCACCAATATCACACGACACCGATGTCACCAAAGCACTCCACGTCTCACTCGACAATCACGAACCAGCTGTTCACTCACCGTAGGCCACGACTCGAATGTCCGTCCTCGGCTGTCCGGTAGTTCCAGGATACCCAAGCTTATCCAAACTGATAAGCCGGGTCAAAGGGCGCTAGCCAGGTTCGCCGCCGCCGCTTGCTTACCTCAACAATCGGTGCGCGGCCAAATAGCAAATATTTACCCCCTAGGGAAAATAACTCGTTACACGGTGGTTTCCAAACTTTTGAGCCAGTGAACTTTTATAACATTTAGAAATTTTCTAGTGAACTACTTGGGAAACCGGGTCAAAAGTTTTACACAAATTGGAATTAAAACATGTTTATTTTGTACAAACATACATTTTCATTTTCAGTATTAACAACAAAATCACACAAAAAAGTTGAAATGTATATTTTAATGAGAAGGGCAGAACTGTTTGTGGCTGTGACCGTTTTCTAGTGACAGTTTTCCTGAAGTTTGGAGAATGTGCTGTGGCCCAGTCTAATGCAGTTAGTCTGTTTCTGTATTTTTTTATGATATTGATATTAATATTTGGAATTGATTCTTCACCCAAGTATGTAAATTTAATCTGAACAAAGATTTTAATTCCAATCAAAAACTTGAATCAGATTATTTTTTATTTTAGGGCTAGAGACCAAATACAAATATATTTCTACAAATATATTTCTACAATAAATAAATTTTCTTTTTTTAGCCTTATAAAACAATGACCTTCAATGGGAAGGAGTACAAACTTAAGGTGAGTGACTTCTTATCTATTAAAAATAAGACACAATCATTAAAGTAACTTTGGTAAGTATATTGATTTTTTAATGCTGTATCTAAACTTTACAGAAATATTGGTTCTATCAGTTTACTTCAAATTTTGCACATGTTGACAAAATTTGATTTATAGTTAGGATAGAGTTGACAGTTATTTATTTTATAAGAGTAAAGAGAATTTGTATTTTTTTCAAATTACGTAAAGGCTGTACATAAATATCATGTAATAACAATATAGGAAACAACTCTACCTACTAGGATTGTATGTGTATTGGGTGTGTAATTGAGATGATAATAAACGCAGTATGCACCTATTTAGCTTTCAGTTTGAACTTTTAATCTTAAATATTTATTTGAATAATATCAATAAGCAAAAAAAATTTAAAAACTAGGACTGGCCTGAAGAAGCTTTGGAGAAGATAGCCTTTCATTACTGGGATGGCCTTGAAATTGAAGAGACTATATTGGGTTCAGCAGTGAAACTTAGCAAGTACATTCATGTCACTGCAAGGTAGATGTTTTTAAAGTTACTAATGAAATGGCTATTTTTGCACTGTTTATAACACAAATATAGCTGATTTCTGCACATTTCATGTTGTCACGCTCCACTTTTTAAACCTAAATCACAAAATAGTAAGCATGCAACAACTGTTGAGTTTTTTTTTTATGAAAATGGGTTGGCAACACTGACCCAAGTAAGTAAGTAGCTTAGCTTACCGCTATTAGGTGTTTGGAATGTGACACAAATGTGTTATGATCTGTTCCCTAAGTTGAAGTAGCCCAACCCATTTAGATTAGGATGACAGCTACACAAAACCAACAAGAAATCGAGTTTCAATAATAAAAACATAGGAAAATAAACTGCAAAGAGAAAAACAACTAAACTCAGAACTAACAACTAAGGGGACAAGAGAAAAAGTAAGTCTACAAGAAAAACTGCAAAATTTACAATGTCATAAATGTGAAGTCTATAAAAAGGGGAAAAATATGATGGATTTGATTAGATCTCTGGAATCAGTGATTAGTATACTAAGTAATGAAAATGAAATGTTAAGTAAAAAAACACAGCTAATATACAAAATCAATATGATTTAATATATTCAAACTGTTTCCTTGGTATAGCTTGGTTAAGTCAATGTAACAGCTGTCGTGCGTCCTGGCGCTTTGTTAAGTGGGGTGGTTGGAGAAGTAAACAAGTTAACACTTGGCTATGATCAAAACAATTTTGTCTTAACGTGATGATAATAAATAAAATACCCAACTCTCAAGTATGTCTTCTCAGCTTAAAACAAGACTGACTGACATGAAAGCCCAAGAGGGAATTCATAGAAAGGCTGTGGGCCTGGTTTAAGACTGAAGCTGCGTTTACTGTAGGGTATATCTTCTTCTAGCCTTCTCTATTTCCTCCATTTAAAACGACATCCATACCTAATATTTCCCATATTATTTCTAATAATCTAAGCTAGTCAATTCTTTTGCAGGGAAACATCAGAGAAGTTTTACTCTGTGACTGGTCGTAAATGTTACGTCACATCAGCTTCATACCTCATGATGGTGAAGAAGTACAGACATTTGATTACACAAAAACAAGAGGAGATTGTACATTCTAAAGCTCAGTTTATTACTGGGCTTGAAAAACTGGAATTTGCGTCCAAACAAGTAACACATATTTACTTATACTGTATACAGTAGAACTCCAACTATTTTAATTCCAGCTATCTGAATCGTGGATCATACAGATTGCTTTTTAAAACCTAAAACTATAGTATTAAGAATTGTTATTGATGAAGGCAGCAGCTGTGATCACGGCAAAATCCTGAACACCTCTCACAGTCATGAAGTTATCATCATCCTCTCTCTGTTAACATTGAAAATTAATAAGGTTAACATTGACCTCTGCAATCACGGCAGAAGCAAGGATTTTTCGATCCTGAAATCATCGCAGACACGTTTTCAATTTTGACAGTATCTATATGTTGATTATTATGTTATACGAATAGAGCAGCTAGCACACCTCTGCTAAACAACTTACATAGATCTTTTGTAACATGCGCAGGAGAATTCGTAAAACTATTCTCTTTATTCTTGAAAACATTTAAAACAGTATTTTTAAAATTATGCTAAAACCAATGTACTAAAGTATTTGAAACAAATAAATAAGATGGATCTTTCTAGTTTAAATATCATGAAACTGAGTTTTGACTTAGATTGACCCGACTATCACTTAAAAACATAGTAATGAAAAAGACTGCCACTGCTTTGTTTACGTTCTGCTCGTCCAGCTGGCCATTGGTTGGTGGCCAACCTAGTACTGTGTAATTTTCATTTGCTATGTTATTGCGGATCATTCTTGCTTTGAAATAATAGCTAATGGTTATTTCAAGTATTCGTTCAAACAAATCACAATTACTAGCTCTTTTCACTCTTCTTCAAACAGTAACATACTATGATAAAGTAATTATTTTTCAGACAGAAAATTAAAATATAAATATACTTAGGCATGGAACGACCTCAGATAACCTGAGGGCTTGGATAATCAGGAGTGTACTGTACCAGCTTTAATGCCAGCATTTCTTTATGATAGGTATCAGTAATGCAGAAAGAGTTGGAAGCACTTCAGCCACAGTTGCAAGTGGCTGCGGCGGAGACGGAGAAGATGATGGAAGTGATTGAGCGAGAGACTGTGATCATTGAGCAGGCCTCGGGTCTTGTCAGGGAGGACGAGAAAGTGGCTAAGATACAAGCTGCTGCAGCCAACAATCTTAAGATAGAGTGTGAGGCTGACTTGGCTTTGGCCATCCCCATTTTAGAGGGTAAATTTTATCTAAGATGAATATCAAAGTTTTAGTGCTCTATTCTAATTCTTACATTGGTCTTACAGTTATAACTGGTACATCAATCAAAATTGACGACTCACTTTATCTTATCTTATCTTATCTTTAGCTTGTTGGTACTCAATGTAAGCTCCATTTACAGCCACACAATTATCTGTTTTCTTTTAACTTTTCAATTGCCTGTCCACATAGGCCGCAAGCCTGTGCCTGGAATGTATCCAGCAAAGCAAGGGGAGCTGGTACAGTACAATTGTTAACTGTACTGATACAATTTTGTGGCTGGCACTAGGACGCAAACCCATGGTATCGCTCTCATGGATTCATATCCTGTTGTTTTATCAAATGAACCATCGACTCACCTAAATAATGCACCCTCTGCCACATCCCTGTCATTAGTGTATCTGAATTGCAATGGTTGTATCCATCCAGTTTGATGATTCAAAGAGGTTGAGATCATAAAGCATCTCAAACAATGGGGGCTTGGGGGGGCATAGCCCTCCCAGATATGAAGATTCACATTATTTTTGGTTAAGTTAGAGAAATTAATTTTAAAAAATTAATAGGAACCTCAAAGTTTGATTTTTTTTAAACAAAATTTATTATTTTTATAGGGTGTCTAGTAGTCGGGAAAAACGGGAAAGCCGGGAATTAGTATTGAATTTCAAATCGGTCTTGAAAAGTCAGGATTTGAAAGTCAGGATTTGAAAGTCAGGATTTGAAAGTCAGGATTTGAAAGTCAGGGCCTAGATCCGCCTATGATCTCAAACAGTTTCAAAGAATAGCTTGTGGTATGTGAGCTCAATTTGTCACAGATCAAATATCAATACAGTACAATAAGTGAGTTTTCCAACTTGATAGTCAATGTTTCTGGAGTGTTTTTTTTTAAGTAGTTGCATCCATCTAACTAATTCAGAGTGAACAGTAAAAGAATAAAATTCACACAATACTTTATGAGCCCAAAAGATAAAAATCACATGGAGTCAGATGGAGTGCATGTGAAAGCCTTGCAAAGAAAAATCTCCAATCAGAGGGTCAAGTACAATCAAATTTAACCACATGCTTGTTAGGTCAGTTATGCTTAACCACTTGATGGTGTCAACAAACTGAACTCTGCTCTTTTATTTGATACATTTTTCATAAATGTCAGCCTAATTCATTCTCATTCAGTATTATAACGGGTTAAAGTGAATATAATATCTCACTGTTGTTATGTACAATGAGGCCTCGAGTGCAGCTGAAGGCCTCTGCAAATTTTTTATGGATATTATGACGCCGTTGCAATGGTAATATATCAAATTCAACAAAGTATTTGAAGATTTTCAGCCAACAACCTCATTTTCATTTTGACTTTTTATTTTCTTACAAGTGTTCAAAGGTTTTAAAATTTTCTTAGTCTTTTAGAATCAATTAAATCATTTTCTCAACCAAACAAACTCTTTTTATTTTTGAGGAACACCTTCCGTAGGAACGTTTGACTTTGATTTCTTCACCAGAGGCTGTTGCTGCCCTCAACACACTCAAGCCAACGGACATCACTTTAGTCAAGTCTATGAAGAATCCTCCAGATACCGTCAAGCTTGTCATGGCTGCAGTTTGTGTGATGAAGGACATCAAACCTGAGAAAATCCCTGACCCCAACACTCCTGGTAGAAAGGTTGGTCTAGTTATCAGTGATATGCAATCATTACTTTTTCCGCAAAAGAAATTTAATCACAACTGATTACATTAAAGTTTGTACATTAGTTTTCATACCTGCATATAGTAATCCTTTGTTGCTGTTTTGGTAACTAGTTTTGCTTCTTCTGAACCATCATCAGGCCTCAAGGTGTCAGGTTTCATTTGAAGGCCTTTAAAAGAGTTCAATAAATAAAACATATAGGAGACACAAACGAGACACGAAATTTACGACCTTCAAATGAAGTCATCACCTGACACCTTGAGACCTGATGATGGTTCAGAAGAACCGAAACTAGTTGCCAAAACAGCAACAAAGGATTACTATATGCAGTTATCCTTTAGCTCTTTTGGAGAACTTTGATTTTTATAGAATCTAAAATAGAAAACACACTTTATCACTTTATGACATTCCTTGTAGTAGCAAACCTAAGTACTCGCCCTAATGTTATTAAATGGAGAATAAATCTAACTAAGGGAATATTTCATTGGAAATCCGATCAAGCAAATGGAAAATTGCTTAGTCAGCAGGTTTGCTGCGAAAGGGGTATTTATTAATTATTATCTATTTGTGATATGTTGCCTGTGTTTTCTGTATTGGTGGATGATATGATATTATTAAGTTAAATTAGTTGTCTCAGGCTCTTCTTAATTCAAAGTTCATTATTCTTTTGGCTGACAGTCTAGTTAGTTAAACTGATCATCAAATTAATACTGGTCTGCAAAGTTGTGGTCATCAGTTATAAAGTCTTTCTAAATAACTCCTAATCCCCTAATTTTATTAAATATTTATTTCCATGTATAACTTGTCAACTATTTGTCAATTGTCTTGTAACGTTGTCATTCAGATCCTGGACTATTGGGGCCCAAGCAAGAGACTTTTGGGAGATATGGCTTTCCTACAGCAACTGAAAGACTATGACAAAGACAACATATCCCCTCCTATCATGGCTATGATTCGCAAGCAGTACTTGCCTAACAAAGACTTCAAGCCACTCATTGTTGCCAAGGCTTCAAGTGCTGCTGAAGGCTTGTGCAAGTGGGTTATTGCCATGGACATGTATGACGCTGTTGCTAAGGTAATCTGTGTTCAGTTAAATTTGAGATAAAATTGTAATAGGTTTAGTAAGTTCTGCGAGTCCTATGCCTCATTTGAAGTAAAGTAAACTCAGTTGGCTGAATGTGGCGCACGGCTGGACGGGAAATAATCCTTAAAAAAATAAATAGCCTTAACAAATCTTTTGAATTGCCAAAAAAATAGAATAGTAGAGATAAAACTTCTGATTTAGAAGTTCATCGGAACAAATAACTGTTGGTATAGTTAAACTATTTTCAACATTATGCATCAATTTTGTTATAAAATTGGAAGGCTAAAGGGATGTTGCCAACTTGTATACACTCATCGAATAGCCATTGCCAGTTGCCACAGCGCTGACGCTTCTGCTCGGTGTGAACGAGTGATTAGGGGTGCATGCACATGCCAATGTTATTATCGAGACACTGTTACCACCCTCACTCCGTAAAAGGAAAGTTAGTTACTAAACCAATCTTTTAGCTTACAACAACCTGCAGGATCAAGTAAAAATATACTATTTGTTTGTTGAATGCTAAAAAAAAAAAACGTTGAGTTTGTCTTTAAACAAATGAAATATTAATCTGACCATAGACAAACCAACACAAGTAGAGTATAAGACGTCTTATCATCACATTGTAGCATAGCCTAACCAACACAAGTAGAGTTCTCATCCCATTGTAAATTTTGAAGCTTGTTTTTGTGACTAGTTCATGTCCGGTGATAATGATCGCTAGTGTCTACGAAATTTTGCTTCTCAAATTCTTCACTAAAGTTCTTACAAGAAAATAAATTAATTTACCAAGTACCAATCTTAATCGTTCACATGTTTATTCCAATAGGAAGTAGCTCCTAAAAAAGCAAAACTAGAGATTGCTGAGCGAGAATTTGCAGCCACAATGGCTATTTTGGAAGAGAAAAGAGCCCAAGTGAGAATGCTCGAGGAAAAGCTTATGGATCTGAATGCTAAACTCGATGCAGCTCAGCAGCGGAAGAAGGTATTGGAAGATGAAGTAGGAATGTGTGAAAACAAACTGTGGAAGGCTCAAAAATTAATAGGTATACTAAACAAATTTTAATATGGTTTTAATAAGTATCAACATATGCACTTCATATACTCTTAAATTTTGTACATTTTTTTCAATTCTTGTAGTTCCAAATATTTTCACCTGATTTAAAAAAGTTACCAAACATAAGTTATTTTTCATTGACATACATAGATGTATTATATTGAGAGAAAATTCATCCAATAAATAATCATACTAATGGTGTATAATCCCTATTTATTCAAAACTGTATGCATAAGGAGGATAAAGGATACATCCTTTAAAAATATTGTTTCAGGTCAAATTTTTTGGGATAAAATTAGGCTACTAATCATTTTAACAATTGTTTGATCAAGAAAATAAAGTTCCAGAACTAAATCTTATTGACAGCCAGGACACCTCTTCTCCATCTTTCACCCTCCCTTTAATTGGAGCCAAGCTATAACTTCTAAATAAATTTATCTACAAAAGCTATGGATGTTGTGCCTAGACATAGAGTACGCCCCTTTCCTTCCAGCCTAAGCTTTGAATTTAATTCTCTCTGTGTTGGTTATAGGTGGTTTAGGGGGTGAGAAAGGTCGCTGGATGGAAACTGCTAACTCTCTACAAACATGTTTTGACAATTTGGCTGGTGACATTTTACTATCCTGTGGAGTTATTGCTTACCTTGCACCTCTAACATTTCAGTTCAGGTAAGATTTTCAATGTTCATATTTTTTAATTCGTATACTTTAAACTTTTAATGTTTATCAAATTTGTGTTCTTTACTCTGACTATTTATTTAAGTTATTTATTTGTTTTTTATTACAAAAATACAAATTTACAATCTTATTCAATTTAGATACAAAAGCCTTAATTGGCTTGTCTGCAGCAATTATCATCAATTATGCTATTACAGAGTGCTTTTTTCTTCAATCAGTTTTTTGTTTCACTTGTTTTTCTATAGATAAACTATAACATGAACACACAGATTACAATAATATACTTAAACAATATAGTTTTGAGAATCATAGAGAATGAATTAACATGTTAGATTAATTGTGATAAAAATATTGTATTAAATTATATAATATAATGTTTTAATTAAATTTTTGGGCACTTACCTGTAAAGAAAAGGTTTTTTTTATATTTTAGAACAACAAGGCCATGTTAATACATATTTAATTGTTTAGATGACAAAATAGTAGTTAGGAGTCAGTTTAGTTAGGGTTCAACAAAATGAATGAACGTTATTTACACATTTACACTGTATAACACATTTTGACACAGTTTTCACTTGATTTATGTTATTCTTTTATTTAAACAACCCCGAATATCAGCCCAAGCAATTCCCAATTGGTTAACATTGGTTGCTCAACTGTACCAATTTTTTTATAGTTATAGTATTAAAAAATAAACAGTTATAGACATCCCAAGAACAAAACAACCTGCGCAGAAACGAAAAGATCATGTGGTTCGCGCCGGTAGGTGTGGCGTGCCATTCAAACATGCACGGCTCGAAATGGCCCAGGGTTCTTTTGTTTCTGGTATGTCTATAGACATTTATTGACTTTTATTTTTCCCAGGCAAAGCTTGTTGCATGATTGGTGCAAGATCTGCTGTGATTTAGAAATTCCAAAGTCAGAGACTTTCTCTTTCGTCAAAGTTCTAGGGTTTGATATAAATATACAAAATTGGAACATATTTGGACTTCCAAGAGATGAATTCTCAATTGAAAATGCTGTTATACTGGAAAACACAGTGAGGTATGTCTTTGTAACTTATATTGTGTATTTTTTTATTTCAAAAGCAAATAATCCTCCTATTTGATTATTATATGCTGCATTATTTATGAATTAGTTTATGAAAAAGACCCCAAGTTCCACAGACAGTGTAATCAATTTTCATTGGCTTAACCCGGCAGAGGCCGCACTGAATTGAAAATCTGAGTAGACGCATACGGTCTTTCCGACTGGGTACAATTAAAAAGCAATATTTCAGTTAACATTATATATTTAATTCCTCAAAATCGTAAAAATAGTGTAAAATACTTAATTTACAACCTTCTGAATATGCTTAAGATGATAAAATATTAAAATGGATAGTTGTAATAGAATCATACACCTTGAATGGTTTTTTTGTAAAATGTTTCTCATATAAATAAATCAATAAGGCCTCAAATGTTTTTTATGTATCTATAAATGATAAAAGCATAATAAACTAACTGGATAGTAAACTATAAAAAAAACATAGTTCACTAAAGTAGTTCAGTAATAAATCATTATAATTTTATCACTGACTTGTAAAGATAAAATCCCTTTAAAGTTTTAAGACTCATCTTTCTCATTGATATTTTGGCCTCTCTCAGCAAATAGTTCATTAAAAGATGCCTTGAATATCCTGCAAGTATCACTAAACATTCAACATCCTCATTTCTTTCAACACTCGACAATGGACTATCAATCCTACTTTGCTTGTTAGATTCCAGGTCTAGCCACTGAGAGGTACGTAAATACTTCTCTGTGGCCAGGTACATAATTTAATGAATTAAAACTTTAGCAAATCAACTATTAAAAGAAAAATAAGGATAATTAACAAACCACGAGGAGACACACAATGCTCTATCGATCGTTACCTCCAAAACACGAGGAGACGCAAAGGGTGGAATTGACCAGTACATGACAACAAAACTGTCATTAGACTACAATGAGGAGGTGAAAGATGGCAAAAAGTATGTCACTGTGTTCCTGGAATGTGGTGTGTTATGTACAGTAAAGGCTGAAAATACTGACAATTGACAATCAATAAATATAATTTTTACACAAAAAAGTACAAATCTGGTCATTTAGACATGTATGCGAGCTCTTGCGGGTTAATGAGTCTTAAACAAAATCATTCGTAGAGTATCTAGAAAGATTCTATTTTTTTTTATTTTCTCATACATTTGTAAAATAGACCTACAATTTCATTATCATGACAATATATTCTAGAGGCTGTTGCATTAGAAACTGTTTTAGCTTCAAACAAAAAGTAATATCATATTTAACTCCATCTTTCTCTCTATGTGCACAAACATAGAAATCTAAAATTTGTCAAATAAAATCAATTTTGGTTTTGTTTACAGATGTCCTCTTCTCATTGATCCCCAAGGGCATGCTAATCGGTGGATTAAAGCTAAGGAAAAATCCAACAAACTTCAAGTAATAAGACTGTCGGACGAGGATTATATGAAAACTGTCGAAACGTGCATGGTTGTTGGAAACCCTGTGTTGCTTGAAAATGTAGAAGAAGATCTAAATGCCATTTTATTAAGTCCACTTTTTGTTAGACGTAAGTGTCGTTATTATTGATGTGATGGGACATTCAGGCTATATAGTTTTATATCAAATTTTTTTTGTTAACAGATTACAGCAACAAAAACTATGATTTAAAGAAACAAAACCTCTGGCCAGTAATAAAATTGTTTTCCTACAGTCACCTGACAAAGGGGCCTTCCTTGCACTGATTATAGCACAGGAAGTTGCTAATTGCTGCATTTACTTACTTTTACCGCACTCTTTTTACTTTTGCCGCACACTTTTTTTGCCGCACTCCAGTATTCCACTCAAACAATACAAAACAGTGTGCTTTTATTAAGCACATAATACGTATATGCTTGAAAATAAGTTGGCAACACTTAAGGATATAGTTTTGACATCATAAGATGTGGAATTGCCCCTGAACTGGTTTATAACTAATATAATGGTTTAATTACCTTCAGTCTCCAGTTCAAAATAAGTCGATTGCGACCTAGGTTTCAGCACGACGTTGTGCTATCATCAGGCTTCCAGTCGAAATGTTCAGTCCATTGGACGTCGTTTAGTAAAAACTATATACAGTTCACAAGACACAAACACATACACATTTACCGATCGGTATTTACAAGGGGAGTACATTTTGTCAAATCACCGGCCGCGACGAGTGACATCCAAGCCACAACCCACCAGTTTGAGTTGTGGCTTGGATGTCACTCGTCGCGGCCGGTGATTTGACAAAATGTACTCCCCTTGTAAATACTGATCGGTAAATGTGTATGTGTTTGTGTCTTGTGAACTGTATATAGTTTTTACTAAACGACGTCCAATGGACTGAACATTTCGACTGGAAGCCTGATGATAGCACAACGTCGTGCTGAAACCTAGGTCGCAATCGACTTATTTTGAACTGGAGACTGAAGGTAATTAAACCATTATATTACTTAAGGATATTACGACTACGATCAGCTGGTGCAGTGTTTCCCATTTCGTTCAAGGTTTGGATTTAACCTAACCTAAACACGTGTTGTACAGTGTTTGAAAGATTGATCATTTATATGCTTTATAGTAACTGTAGGAAAAATATTATGTGTAACGCGAGTGCAAACTACCTTTGCTGCACTCGAGAAACTTTCCACACTCGCCTAGGGCTCTTGCGTAAAGATTTATCTCATGTGCAGCAAAGTGCCACTTCCCTCACTAGTTACATAAATAACTATTGTTGTACTGTTACAAAAATGTCAGTTTTCTAATTGGATTGTGGAGCTAAAGTAGGCCTAGTTATTTTAATTCCTAGGACTTAAATGACCTGGAGTCAAAGCAATCAGCAGTACACTCTACCTTTTGTAAACTGAACTGATTTTGAAGAAGGAAATAGATTCAGTTAGGAAGTATATCATCATTTTGTTTCTCAAGTTTATCTTTGTCTGTCATCGTGTTACAGTAGAGTCCCGCAAACTCGGCGTAATGTGCACTGGAAGGGTGCCAAACTTTTTTTTCTTTTTACACTGTAAGCAGCTGGTTTCTGGTGCCTTTGTAGTCATTGTATATAGAAAGAGATCAGCAAAATCAGCTGAAGCCCAAATTAAATAAGTAAATTTGCTAAGCACCTTTTCAAAAAATTATGATATGTGTTTCTTCAGAAGGCTTTTAACAAAGCTACACAATAAATATCAGACAGGTTTGGACAGGAACTTTACACTTTCACAATAAATATCGAAAAGATTAAAAAAGCTACCTTTTTAAAAAAAGTTGAAAACTGTTAAAATGTTGAGTTAAAAAAGTGCATACTAAACCGTGTTGTGACTGCATATATAAGCTGTGTTTTACTTAAGCTGTATATTTGTTGCTAGTAATGTTGCATGATCAAATAATCATACAAGACTCATACGGGAAGGTGTTAACGGTAAAATGAAATAAAATAAAATAAATTAAAAACTATCATGCAAGTACTTACAACACCTGTTTCCTGACCTGATTCTTGGTGTAGTTAAGTTATTATTTTGCTTGATTTACTTATTTTTTGTGCACATTATATACAGGTACTATAGACCCTGATGGAAAGAAACTCCCCTGCATATACATCACTACAAGACTCCAGAACCCAACTTTTACCCCGACTGTGTTTAACTTCTTCTCAGTCATTAACTTTACTTTAACTCTTAATGGATTGGAAGACAAACTACTTGACATCGTAATTGCAAAAGAAAGGTATGTACAGTATGATTTTAACCACCTTAACAAAATGTGTACCAACTATTTGAAAGCTTCTTTTGTATATACAATAGACAATAGACAAACTCTTTATTGAAATATTCCTAGAGAACATTCATGCGTCAGGTACATAAAATGTACAGTATGTACATAAACTATTACAGTCATTTGCAATTACAATTAGCATTTTTTTTTTCATAGTAGCTTATTGTTTATGATGAAATGAGGAAATAAAATACATAAATTACTTTATTAATAATTGATGTAAAAAGGAAAGATATTAAAACATTAACACTTCAAACTGTGAACATATTAGAACAACAACATAATAACAAGCAGCTGATATTAAAAGATACATTAAAAAGATATTTGATTATATAGCATTAAACAAAGCAATACTATATAAAATCTTCAACATTCCCCCTTAATCAAACATCCTTTTTTTTATTTAATCTGAGTCTTTAAGTCCCAAGTCCGTCACAAAGTAATTACATTTTTCACGTGATAAAGATTAGGTTAAAATATCAGCCGCCATATTTTTCAGTTGGCATATATTGATTTCAATGAACTTCTTAACCATATTCTTGACCTTTAGCAACAAGACGTGCTTTGAACTTCTCACGTTCACCATCTACATTTTTCTTAGTTTTATAAACCCACTTGCGTTTAACCACATTTTCATTCTTCGGACGATCAACCAACTCCCAAGCATTGTTCTTAATTAGAGAATTATACTCTTTATCCATGGTATTCATCCATTCTTCTTTGAAATTACTTTTAATTGCCTCATTGAAAGTTTGTGGTTCATCAAAAACATCAACAGCTTGATATGAAACGAAGTCATTCATCCATAATGGTTTTCTGCGATCACATTCAGGTCTTTTATCTTTTATCAAAGAATTTCTTTCTTCCAAAACTTGCTGTTTATTTTCATCTTGTGAATTGTCTAGATGAGAATTTTCATTTTCTGAAACTTCCTGTTCACTTTCACTGTTAGAATGAACAAAATTTTATTCGTTGTCAACAGATGTTATATCATTGTTTGGTTCTTCCACAAGTTCAGTTGTGCTTCTGTTTATAACAGTATATTCAACTTGTTGACTTTCATTTTTCAGGTCATCATTGACATCAGAGGTATGAGATTGGTCTTCTACAAAAACAACATCACGTGCTTTTATTATAGAATAAGGTTTCTTAGGATCAATTAGTCTGTAGCCTTTGGAATGTTCACAATATCCAACAATCCAACCATAATACAAGGCTTTGCTTTTGTGTCAACTTTCTTTCTGTAACATTTGGGAATATGAACATAAGCTTTACAGCCAAAAACCCGTAAGTGACTTAGATCAACCTTTGAACCAGTCCAAACTTCCTCTGGTGTTGCATCCTTTAAAGCTGCTGTAGGACTACGATTCTTCAAATAGATAGCTGTGTTTATAGCTTCTCCCCAATATCGTTTTCCTAAACCTGAATCTTTTGGCGGCATGTCGTGTGTTGTGCTGGTGTATGTCGCTGTGTCTTGGCTGGGCTGTTTTAGTGGTGTGGATAATGACTTCTCTAATGTAGAGTGAAATTGGTGTGAGAATTTTAAGGTTCTTGAAGGCTTCTCGGCAACTGTCTCTGTAGTTTAGGTCGGCAAGGAATCTAATTGCTCTTTTTTGCTTTAGGAGTACTCTTTCCAGGTTGCCTTTTGATGTTCCACCCCAAGTCGCAATGCCATATCTGAGGTGGGACTCAAATAGAGCAAAATATGCAACTTTGGCTACTTCTGGGCTGCAAGCTTGCTTGATCCTACGTATAACGTAGAGACTTGAACTTAGCTTTTTGCAGAGCTGGTCTATGTGGGGTTTCCATGATAGCTTAGAGTTTATGATGCCTAGGTATTTTGTGGTATTTTGTGTTTGTAGTCCCGGTATTGTAATGTCTGTGTTGTTACGTTTGGTGGTGAAAGTCATTTGAACGGTTTTGCTTTCTTTTGAACTAGGTCATTGGAGGTACAGTAGGTACTGCTTTGTTCTCTGGAGTTGTGTGTTGGTTTTCTCTTCCAGATTTTCCATTGTTTTGTCCGCAAATGTGAGAACCGTGTCATCTGTGTACATGGTGGTGTGTCCATCTTCCCCAATCCAACTACGTAGGTCATTTGTGAGAAGGAGGAAAATGACTGGGCCAAGTACTGATCCTTGGGGTACTCCTCTTTGCACGTCTACAGCTTTGGATTGGGCCTTATACTTCGTGTTGTTCTTTATGTAGGCTATTTCCTCAAGCTGTTTCCGGTTACTAATGTAGCTTTTAAACCATTCTGCTGCTCTTCCTCTCACACCTAGTGTTTCCAGCTTGAGTAGAAGAAGTTCGTGGCAGTCGAAAGCTTTACTAAAATCTAGGAAGAGGCTTGTTGAGGTACTGCCTTCTTCTAGTTGGTATAGTATGTGCTCTGTCAGTTGTATTAAGGCTGTGGCTATCGATCTGCCTTTGATAAATCCATGCTGTTGACTATTGAGAAGGTTGTGTTCTTGAAGATGGTGTAGGAGTTGGGTTAGTACTATATTTTCGATTATTTTTGAAAACGTTGATATTAGAGAGATTGGCCTGTAGCTGTTTCTTTCTATCGTTGGTCCATTTTTGTATTTTGGGTAGACTTTAGCTATTTTTAATTTATCTGAGAATTTTCCTTTTGAGAGTGATTTATTTATGAGGTCTGTCAGGGGTATCACTATTTCATTTTTACAGTTTTTTAGAAGTTTAGCTGACACCTCATCAGTTCCGGATAAATTTTTCATCTTTAGATATTGAATGGCTTTTTGCACTTCTTCTTGTGTGACCCGTCTGAACTGAGGAAAACCCTTTTTAAGCTTTAACTCAAAACATATTCTATTGGTTTTTCTTTATATCGTATATGTGATTGGGTACTGGACACCTATTAGAATAGCAATAAAAAATGTTTGATTTACTTCCAGGCCGACTAGGCCGCGGCCTAGAAACTGCCTAGGACCGCTAGCAGAATGGGGCTGCAGCGTTTTTTTACAAAAACAACTTTTTCAGTACAAAAATGGAATTTGTTTAAAAAGTTTATAATTTACCACGCTTGTAGGTGACGAAGATGATGTTTCCATGATTGTGAGAAATGTTTACGATATTGCAGTAACCACAGGAAAGTTCCACCTAAGAGGCAGGGGTTTCTCAGGTTAATTTGGCCTCTGTAAGTGCCTTAAATCCTGTACCAAAAAAGAAGGTTACAGGTTTAAATGTCCTATTAACCTTAGACTGGTGTCTTCGGTCTGTGAGTCCGATGACGTAATATTTTCAAATTCCTGCTCCTTCCGCTAGGGTATAGGACTTGTGTCTCCTGCTACCTTTCTACCTCGACTCAGTCTACCACCAGACGCGAGGGCGTAATTTTGAGGTTACAGATTTGTCTGCAATTGTGTAATTCGGTCCCCTACACCGAAGACACCTAGGGTGTGATTGGTCCAACAGACTGAAGCCACCTAAAATGAATAATAGTACTACATATAATGTAATACTATGTACAATACTATAATGTAATACTTGTATATTATTTAAAATTATATAATTGTAATAATTTGGCATAGTTTATATCTTGTATTTCCATAGTTTTATACATAAAATATTTATAAAATACAAAAACGGTCTCACAGTCCGAAGACACCAAAGGTGTAGGCTAATCAAAGTCACCAATACTCTATGGATAAAATTGGTATTATTTGAAGTCTCAGTCAAACGTTAAAAATATACGGAATTCTGATGGCTTATGTTTTTTTTTTTCATCAACTAGTCCATAAACTTTCATAATATATGAGTAAAAGCTTTAGTAATTTAAAAACAGTATTTCAAAAAAAATTTTACTTTACCGTATCAACTTTTGATAAATGTAAAGTATTAGTTTTTTCAAAAACGTTTTACCAAAACTCAGAGGGGTTTTATTTTACGATAAACCCCATAAAAATTTAAACATATATAGGAGTAATAATTTAGGCAGTTTTATCTTTTATGATTATAGTTTTATACAAAACATTTTTTTATCAAAAACGGCTTTAAAGACCGAAGACACTTAATGTGTGATAAAAATCAAGACACCACTCTAGGGTTAAAGCCTTACTTCAGCTCCAGTTTGTATAACATTGTCTTTTTAGCTAATATTGAATATATAAACTAAGCATGTGTTTTCCTACAGCAGCATATTTTGTGTATAGCAAATTGCATAATGTAGACCTCCCAAGCTACACACTTGTAATGCCCAAGATAGCATTCTTCTTTAGCAGCACATTTTGCTATAGTTTCCATAATTTTTTTCCAAAAATAAGTGAAATGGATTCTAACCTTGTTAGTAAGAAACAACCAGAGTGATTTGATGTTAGGAAAAATAAAAAATGTATGAATGAATTAGACACAGTACGTTCAGATAATACTTTAACTTACTGAACATTTTTAAAACAGATCCTCCTTCACATTGACTGCACATTAATTCAGAAGAGTCGCACATCTACCTACACAAAATGCACTGGGTAGTGTAGATAGGCTTGTTAATGGCTATATTGATTTAAATGTTTTTATGTAGGCTATGAAATGAGCTGTGTACTGTACTATTTTGTGTGCTAAAACCTGCATTTTTATACAAATAAATTTGATATTTGAAACTCGTATTTTGACCTTAATCTGTTGAATTTTAGATGCAAATGTAGTGCCCAAATTTGATTTAGTGTTGTGAGAAGGTTTTCTATACTTCTTCCAACAACTTCTGTTTTTCGTAAGATTATCCATACAGAAAGTAAATAAAACATACGTCTTATAATTTTTAAGTGTTATAAGACGTATCTTTCATTTACTTTCCGTAAATTTAATAACACGTACAATGCTGATCAAGAAGTTATTTATTGATTATTGATACAAATAATTGTTTTATTTCTCTTCTGATTGTAGGCCTGATCTTCAAGATAAGAAACAGGCAATGATGATTTCTAGTTCTAAAAACAAAACTAAGTTACAACAAGTCGAGAGTAAGATCTTGGATACATTATCGTACACTAAAGGAAATATTTTGGAAAATGAGGCTGCCATTGAGATTCTTGATACAGCCAAGGTATTTATGTCAAGTCAAGTCAATGATTTATTTTTACAAAAACGTTTACAATTGAACAAGCAAAGCTGGGTAAAGAGGTGAAATTGTCAAACTCAATCACAAAACAACTTAAAACTAGATAAATAAATGTTTACAAATGAATTTCAAATAGGTCTACAGTGATAATTTAGGAAATCTTTTATACTATAAGCTTTATCTAAATACGGAACTTAGACATATCTTTTTAAAACAACTCTGTTGAATTACATTAATATGAACTGGCAATTTATTATAAAATTGTTTACTAATGTATTGGGACAAGGTATCAAAAAGTGTCAATCTGTGGATGGGCAGTTGAAAATTATTCTAATTTCTGGTTAGGTAGCTATAGTTAAAATTGTCATTAATGAAAATATTTTGGCTTCTTTTTATAAACATCAAAGTTTGGAGAATATACATTGAAGGTAGAGTTAATACTTTTAATCCTTTTAATAACAATTTACATGACTGTCTGGGTTTGCAAAAAAATAACAATTCTTTATCATCTTTTTTTGGACCTTAAAAACAGATTTGGCACTAGAGCTACTGTCGAAGATTTAGTGAACCTTGTTTTAAAGTCTGTAACATTTTGTAAGACAGACATCTGAAAGCAGGTTTTATTTAATGTTCTGCATAAAATTGCAATATATTCATCCCACTTCAAAGTATTTTGAACTTGAATACCTAAAAATTTTGTTTTTTGTATAATCAATAACATCAGTGTCTGAGTTAATATTTAATTTATTTTGTTGTCTATCATGAGTGGCTCTGAATCTCATAAGTTGTGCTTTGGAACAATTTAGTCTTAAGCCATTTGCTTCAAAACATGAATTAAAATCTTCAAAAGCAAGATTTATTGAATTTTGTATAGATTATTGAGGCTATTAGCTTTGAAAATGGCAGTTGTATCGTTAGTATACAGGGTGTTTCAGTAAATCGTAGCGGGCTACGCAGATTCAGATTCTACATGCAAAAAAAAGTCGAAAATGTAGAATAACTTTTTTTCTATTTCGGCTTAGTTTAGACGTAATCCGCCATTTTGTATTTTTTTATTTTTTATTTCTTATTTATAACTCAACAGCCCTTTGAGATACTTTTATGAAACTTGGTATAAACTATAAGTCTACAGCTATTAACATTGTCCGGAAATATCATTAATCAGGCTCTTCGAATTTCAAAATGGCGGCCATTAAAAGTTTTTTAAAATCAAATTCCATGAAAACCGGCTTAAAAAAACAAAGTTTTGCAATTATTTAAAGTCCTTTTTATTACAAATCAAATGACACTTCATTTGGGAAAATCGGTTAATAAATAAAAAAAGCTATGTAGCTTTTTTTTATTAGTAATTATCAAAATGGCGGCCATTTAAAAATCACAAAGTTAAAGTCCATAGAAACTAGTACAAAAACAAAATTCCATTAGAACTAGTGACTCGAATAAAAACACGAAATTGTTTTTATTTATGTTTTATAACAAATTAAAATACCCTTTAAGTTTAGAATTTGTTGACAACTTTAAATTAATGATTTAACTATTTACAGCTTATCATTATTATTTACATCATGATCATTATTTATTTACACCAATTTAAGAAAAAATTCAGATTTCTAGTTAAGTTTCTTTGAAGAATCATTACCATTAAAAGTTTGATTTCCTCCTACTAAAAACGTCTAGTGACTGAACTTCACCATTAAAGGAGATGCTCAATGTGTCCTCCGTTGACCCTCACACAGTGCTCCAGTCGCCGGCACATCGACCGCCTCACTCGTTCGAAAATCGCAGGCATCTCTCTAATCCTTTGGCACCCATCTACAATCCACCCTGTGAGCTGCTCAACGTTCTCTACAGGGGTTGAATACACCATCGATTTTAAGTGACCCCAAACAAAAAAGTCAATTAAATTTAAATCGGGCGACCTCGCTGGCCACGCGGTCGGGCCGCTACGATCAATACATTTGTTCCTGAACGTTTCATTCAGATATGTTCTCACATCAATGCTGAAGTGGGGTGGTGCTCCATCGTGCTTGAACCACATGCGATCCCTAGATCTTAGAGGCACATATTCCATGACTTCCCATGGGTCATTTTGAAGAAAATGCAAGTAGTTCAGTGCATTAAGCCTTGGCAGTAGAAACACTGGGCTAATCAAACTGTCTCCAATAATACCTACCCAAACATTCAATGAAAATGTATTTTGGAACCTGGATAGTTTTATCACATGAGGGTTCTCGTCTGCCCAATGGTGGGTATTGTGGAAATTCATGCCATTTCTAATAAATCCTGCTTCGTCAGTAAAAAGTACAGAAGCCAAGAAATCGGGATTCCTAGCACATTTACCTCTTATTTGTTCACAAAATCGTTGTTTGTTGGGATAGTCATGATCAGAAAGAGCATGAACTCGTTGAACATGATAGGGATAAAGCAACTGGTTGTTCAAAATTCTCCAAACCGATGAATGGCTAATCCTAACAGCAGACGCTAATCTTCTCGTGCTTTTAGTTGGATCTTCTTCCACAGCTCTCAACACTTCCTCTTCTACATCAATTGTTCTTGCTGTTCCTTGATTGCCCCGACCACCAGACGGAATTCCAAAGCTTCCATGTTGTCTAATATGATCATCCACCGTTACAAACATCATTTCACTCGGAAGTCGCCGGTTAGGAAAATGTTCTGCATGCAAACGGCAAGCTAACACACAATTATTGTTTGCAAGGCCGTACATCAAGTGAATATCAGCCAGTTCCACATTTGAAAATTGCACTGGCATTTCTGTTTGTTTTCTTACACGACAAAATAATAACCACAGAGTTAAAAGCTTGTTTACATGTAACGCACAAAATGAATTAGAACAATAACTAGTCAACAACAATGCGTTTCGGAATCAGCTGATTAGAGTGCACCAACTATTTAATCATTTAATCCAGTCACCTTCCATTGGATTAGATGAATTACCAACTGCCTTAAGTTAAATATCTGATAAAATGTTTTGTCACTAGTTTCTATGGAATTTAACGTTGTGATTTTTAAATGGCTGTCATTACTATTAATAATAAAAGCTACATAACTTTTTAATTTATTTTCCGATTTTTGCAAATAAAGTGTCCTTCGATTTGGATGACTTGGATGATTTGATTTGGACAAATTCAAATCAATTTGTTGCAAAACTTAGTTTTTTTAAAGCCGGTTTTCATGGAATTTGACTTTAAAAACTTTTAATGGCCGCCATTTTGAAATTCAATGAGCCTGATCAAAGATATTTCCGGACAATGTTTATAGCTGAACACTTAAAGTTTATACCAAGTTTCATAAAAATATCTCTAAGGGCTGTTGAGTTATAAATTAGTAAAAAAAAAATACAAAATGGTGGATTACGGCTAAACTAAGCGACGAAATATAATCGCAATACAATGTTCATGACAAATGACTCGATCGTAGGGATGCGCACCTGGGCGGTGATGCTGATGTCTCCGATTGGATACATGCTTCAGTGAACATGTTAAAAAAGAGCTTCTCCCATCACCTACCCTCATCAAATAAAGAGCTTAGTGCAAGTGCAGACGGTACAAATTTGTATTTCTTGCTTGGGACAAATCCAGATTATTGGCGGTCTGAATTTTTGACGTCAGAATTATCGACTTTCTACTATATAAGTTATATATTTATTTAAAATAAATATATACATGTGTCCGTTAGCACAATAACTCGAGTTAAAATAATACAATATTAATGAATCTTGATCTAAACTTGTAAACTTGCGTATATTCTAAAGATTTCAAGAACCAGCGTGATCAGTCTATAGGAAATGAAATGATAATTCAAATGCTTCTTTTATGGAGGCGAACTTATAGGACCTTACGGTACTTTCTTAAAGTTAACCTCCTATGGATTAGGAACAGGTTTTTATGGGATGAAATTTTGGTTTTCTCATTTTATACCCTCAAAACATTTCCCAATTTCTCTCTAAACCATTTTTTAGAGCTCAGAAAGCAGATTTTTAGGAAGGTTTGTGTTAAAGTGTTTTTGTATGTTAAGGAATATCTTGTACTACTCTCTGTCCAAAATGAAAACATGCTTAATGATGTGTTTGATAAGAACACAGAGGCTAGCTATTTATATGTTTGAAATATACAAACGTGTTTTCAATTTATCCTTAATAGTGTTCTTATCATTTTTTTCAGTCTTTATCAGTAGAAATCCAGGATAAACAGAAGCTTGCCAAGATAATCGAGGAGGAGATCCATTCTTACTGTCAACTTTACTACGCTGTTGTTGAACACTCAGCCAGACTCTACTTCTGTCTAACTAACCTCAGCAACATTAACTTCATGTATCAATTTTCTCTTGATTGGTTTCTCAAAACGTATATCACATCTATTGATACTGCGTAAGTCCTTTTATTTGAGCCCAAAACTACAAAACTGCATAATGGGAAGTTCTTACTAAACACGAGAATAGAAAACTTAGTTGCCTTTTTAAGAGGATAAAACTTTCAACATTTAAAAGTTATTATAGTTTATACATTTTGATTGACTAGGGGATTACCAATATCAAAGAGACACACCACTATCACAATTGTGGCCAACTAACCTATCTATCACTAATTATATTTTAATGAAAACTGTTGTCATAACTTGTGATGAACACTTTTGCCACTGAACGTAAACCATAATTAACACTGGACGTTCATTTAGATATTCTCTCAGTTTTTTATGGTAAGAAGAATCAGCTTAGAATAGTAAATATGTAACTTTATTTTGCACTTTTCAGCAACAAGTCCCAAATAATGGAAGTAAGGCTGCAATACCTTCAAAATCGAATTACTTACAACCTTTATAGAAATGTGTGTTGTTCTCTCTTTGAAAAACACAGAATCCTGTTTTGCCTTCTACTCTGTTCCAACATAGAATTGTAAGTAAAATAAATGTAATATGGGTGTTGAAATAGACAGAGTTTGTGGAATTGGAATTGGATCAGCCAATCACTGTATTTCACACATAACACTTTCTTTGTAATTCCATCCTTTTCTCTAGACAGGGTGGAATATTTTGCAAGTCCTATTTTTTACCTCATATTCCTTGAAAAAAGTGTTTTTATCATAGCCCTAGGTTTGTTGTCTAAATTCTGCAAGATATCTAACTATTCAATTAACTTTAAAAAACTGTTGGAAAATAAATATTCACATGGGCCTAAGATAACATTTAATTAAAAGACGATTTATTCTATAGAGAGTATGAGTAAATGCATCACGACCGATAAAAAATACAGGGTATAACTGATTTCCCTGTCTGTGATTTCCATGAAAATTCTGCTCACAGGTTTGGTTCACTATATACAGGGTGAACAACTTAACTGTGCCATGACTGGTATCTCAAAAAGTATTACATTTATAGAAAATATTAAATGGATAACTCAACTATTTTCTTAGGGAATAAAGAAATTAATTTATTTTTTTCAAATATAGCTGCCATTTTCCAATATGGTGGATAACTTTAAACATTTGCATGGAACACCTTGTATGTATTTGTTTAATAAATATGATTTTATAACACTTAAGTTATTTTAGTCAGTTTCACTGAAGAAAAAGTCGTTATTGTTGCTTGCCCAGTGTAAGGCTGGAGTGTTTAATAAAGTCCCGGTACTCATAGTAAAATGAGGGTTTTCATTTTCATATATTTTAATCTGAATAATCTAAATTATTGTAATAGGATTTCGTGTTGGAGGATAAAAATTGTTGAAAATTGTCAATTCGCTTAGTCAGCAGGTTAGCTACAATAAGGTTTTAGCCCAAGAGCCCATGCATGCCAGACCTTCGTTATTTCATAAAAGCTGAAAGTTTCTCAGCACATGCTCCCAATTCAGTTAAAAATGATCAGCAGATATGAAATTTGGATCTTGGTTACTATGGCAACAAAAAGTTAACAAAGGTCTGAAATTTGCAAATAACCTTCGTTATAGTATAAAGCTTGGTTCTTTTATATTTTCTTGAGTGGAATGTTAGAAACCATTTCCCCCATTGCCAGACACTTTGTGCGGTTTAAACCATCTGCCAGACACCCTTAAACTTAGGTATGACGAAGATTAATTTTCGTCATTTTATAAAAGCACCACGGCAGACTTTTTAAAGTGTCTGGCAAGATGAATAAACCAATGAAAGTGTCTGGCTTTTGAGGAAATGTCTTTTGATAGCCCCTTAAGTAACATATATCAATTTCAGCTTTTATAAAATGATAAAAATTAATACTCGTCATACCTAAGTTTAAGGGTGTCTGGCAGAGGGTTTAAACTGCACAAAGTGTCTGGCAATGGAGGAAATGATTTCTAACATTCCTCCGAAAAAAATATGAAAGAACCAAGCTTTATACTATAAGGAAGGTTATTTGCAAATTTCAGACCTTTGTTACCTTTCTTTGTCAAAGTAACTAAGATCCAAATTTCATAGTCGCTGATCATTCTTAACTAAATTCGGAGCATGTGCTGAGAAACTTTCAGCTTTTATAAAATAACAAAGGTCTGGCAGTCATGCGCTCTTGCTCTATTGATTTGGGTACGTAAGCTAAATAATATTTAAGTATCAGATGATTTCAAATTGATATTATCTTTAGGTTTCATATTTCAGAGCCAAAAAAACTATACTTGAAGAAGACTTAAATTTTTTTATTGGTGTAAAAATAGAAAGTGAAGGATTTAAAGGTGAAACTAACAGTCCTGTGGAGTGGATCACGGATATCAAATGGAAACAAATAGTTCAGCTCGACCAGCTATCCTCATATTCAGGTGAAATGAGTTAATAATAAAGTTAAAAGCCTTTACTTAGCCTTTAATATATCCACAATAGGATAATTACTTATATATATTTTGTAAAACTGCATCCCTTTAAAATGATGCTTAAATATGTAAAACTGAAGAAAAGTATTAAAAAAACAATGCAATATTTGCACCAAATATACACATTCAATAGGCGGTTATTTTCAAGCAGTTAATTTTAGTTACAGTCATTTTTATCTTGGTTCATAACTCTTTATAAAACTAAATGCACAATTCGTTTGTTTTTTTTTATGCTTCCAGACATCAGTGCAGCCACCCTATTTAGTTAAACTACATTTCAATATTTTTTTCGTGGCACATTGCATACTATTCTGAAAAAAAAAAAATAATTTATGTACAGTAATTATTCCAAGTAGTTAATTACATTTAGATAAATAAATACTATGGTAATACTCAGGCCCAGACTGGCCAGGTTGGCAATTGTGGAGGGCCCCTTGGCCAAGGGGGACCCGAAGGGGCCAAAACTCACAAAAAATGTTGTCTTGCCAGTAGTTATTATGGCATGTAAATTTTGTATTTACATTTTGCAAAGTAGAACAACTGTTTCCAACAACTGTTACATATTGCCACTTATATGAAAGCTTTTACCAAGCTTCTTTATAAGAGCTTCTTTGTAAGTTGAGATACGTTGTTGCGTGGTGAAATGTGTTTAGCAGACAACTGCAAAGCAATGCTCTATCCAATCAGCTGATTACTCCGTAGGATGTGCAAAAAAGATGGAAAATGAGAAAAAGAAACAAGAAGCTTTCCTGTAGGGATGTGTCGATTCTCTATACCACCATGATTTATATCCGTATCGAGATTCGATCGTGAAGAGTTGATTCCGAAACAGATACCTGACAGTGGATAGGAACAATTTGAATGCAAAAATCAATACATACAATTCTACCGTCAATTTAGAATTTCCTGCAAAACATTGCCACATCTAAAAAATAAACGGTACCGAGTGAAAATTTAAAAACGTACGTTTTCAGGAAAAGCACTTTGCAAATTCTTTTCCCCCTTTTTCAAAACTTTTATTATTATTTTTATTTCATTAACATTTGAAGTTTCATAAAATGTCCATGGTAACGCAATATCTTTGGTAGTTTCTTTTTAAAAGAGCATCTTTAGTGGAAAAACACAAAATCCTGTCACGACCATAACGGACGTTTAAATGAATATTAGAAATAGTTAATATTATTTTTATAACTATGTTTTGCTATAAACTTATTTACTTTTATGACCATTAAACAATAAAAAGGTCACTAAGCTTTTGGTATATTTGGTTTTTCTAGAAAAAAATAAAAAAACTAAAAAAATTGAAAAAAGCCAATAAAATCTTTTTAAGTTTGTATAACTCCGAAAAAACTTACCTGAGACCCGAAAAATCGTTATGTTTGTATAGAGGTGTGCTTCTTTTGTGTATAAAACATTGAAATATGACGATATTTTAATTTTTTAAATTTTTATGATAGAAATCATAAACGTGATGGTCAGGGACAAGCGGTACGGTCGTGAATTGTCTGGAACAATCTAAATCTTTCTAAACAATCCTTCAATTATCCTGTTAGTTATAATAAAAATATGTGTTACAATTTAACTAAACTGTTCAATTTACAATTATATTAAAGTTATTGTCACGACCAAACACACTATAATCCATAAGGCTGGATTGGTCGTGAAAAAACCCGCGATGGTCGTGAAACTTTGGTCGTGAAATTACGTGTTATTTGGCTCTGTTCTGGCGGTAGCCCTGCACCTCATGTTCGAGGATACAAAGTGGACTTCTAGGTTAATCTAGCAATTGAAATATCTTATAAACAAAAATTAACACCATGTCTACTTCATCAAATGACTACATACGGTCATGGACACACCAAAATTACAAAAAACACAATCTTTCCTTTATTAATCTTGTAATTCCTCCTTTCAACTCGAAACGACCGGCACTACAATCCTGACATACACCCCGAACTAGTCTCTAAAACCAACTGACTCCATCGACGCCAGGCTTGCCACTGTCGTGCTCCAAAGTTGAAAATTTTTCCCAAATGGTCGTGACGCCAAATCGAGGGACAGACTTATTTTGTCATGGTAGTCAGTTTTTAAAGACAATAAAATTATAATATGCTCCTTTTTTGTAAGTTTAATAACCATTGATGACATAAAAATATGGCTTTATATATTTCGGCATGAATAATTAATTAGTCTAAAAACAGCGTGAAAGTTGGAAAATGCACCCTAGGGACACGTCATGGTCGTGAATTTTGAGACTTTAAAAATACGAAAAAAATACCTAGAACCTATTTAAAACCAAATAAATGTGTGTAACACCTTGCCCCCATCCCAAAAAATATTAAAACACATAATAATAAACTACAAATCCAGTATCTACGAAGTAAAAGGCCAGGGACATGAAAACGTACGTTTTTAAATTTTCACTCTACCGTCAATCTGACACATACTTTCTCCCATTAGCTTGTCAACAACCTTTATCATGGGTAAGGGATGAGAGAAACTATGATAGTTTATAGGGAAAATCGCAAAAGTTGCAATCGCTTTTGAACTTTAATTAACACCAATGGGAGGTTGTACTATTTTGTTTAGAATTATAAGACATACTAAATTTTATTATATTTGTTCAAAAATCTGATTTTTTTCATTTTATGGGCTTTTGTGGGAAAATAACATAAGTTACAATCATTTTTAAACCGTAATTTTTACAGCAACAGGAGTTGTACAATTTTGTTCAGAATTTATGGGACTATAACATACTTAATTTATATCAAAATCATTCTGGTCCTTTTTGAGAAAATGCTATTTTTCCGATATTTTATGGATTTTGTGAGAAAATCCCCATTAGAAATTAAAATTTAAAAAAAACAAAAAATTCTAGAGATACTATGGATTAGTACCCACATACCAAATTTAATCAAAGTCAGACTAAAGTTGTGGTCTGTAGCTCTGTACTCATCCACATATACAGACAGACGGATACAGACATCACTTCGAAAACCAGTTTTTTGGGTTCAGGGGTGCCCAAAACGGATATATCCACTCAAAACACAACATTGGAGAATTTGGACAAAAACAATACTTTCTTCTTATAACGTGTAAGGAGAGAAAGTATCAGTAAATTAAAAAAGATAAATACACTATTTGAGCTTGTGAAAACACCATGTTGAGTCTTATTTAAAATAAATTCTCATAAAATACAAACACTAAATATCATAGATAATAGATATCTATGCAACAATGCATATTAGGTGATGGCAATGAAGTGAAGAAAAAAGAGATACTAACGTATGAGCTGGTACAATTATTTGGGTTGTGTTTAGAAAAAAAAACACCCTTTATGAAAACCTAGCTGAAATTATGGGTGAGGTTCATAAGGTCCAAATTTCACAAAGTCCAATGGTTAAAATATGAATAAACAGAGTGTTTCACAAGGTCCAAATTTCACAAAGTCCAACGTTAAAATATCAAATGAACAGAGCGTTTCACAAGGTCCAAATTTCATAAGGTCCAAAACTATGACATTCAAATAATCACCGTTTCACAATGTCCAAATTTCACAAAGTCCAATGTTAAAATATCAAATAAACTTAGCGTTTCACAAGGTCCAAATTTCACAAGGTCCAACGGTACAGTCTCGGCCAGAAGTCCCTGCAGAGGTTGCCGTGGTTCGGTATGTAGGCGCTACACTACCTAGTGTTGTTGCCACACGTCACAAAACATCATTGTGGGTCCGTAGATACGTTGTAAAGAGTGTAAAGTAGTGGTATTCACCCCCTCCGCAGCAAACCTGCAGACTAATCGATTTTCCATTTCCCTTATTTGATTTACACTAGACTATCTCCTTAAAATGATCACATTTATTCCCTATTTAAATAGCATTAGTTTAACAAGTACCGTACTTAGGTTTGCTGCAACAGGGAGTAATCAGTAGTTGAGCGCCGGCGGACCGTGCCTGCTATCTGACCGTGGCAACCACTGTAGAGACTTCTGGCCCAGAATGTACCGTTGGACCTTGTGAAATTTGGACCTTGTGAAAGCTCTGTTTATTTGATTTTTTAACATTGGACTTTGGGAAATTTGGACATTGTGAAATGGTGATTATTTGAATGTTATAGTTTTGGACTTTATGAAATTTGGACCTTGTGAAACGCTCTGTTTATTTAATATTTTAACTGTTGGACTTTGTGAAATTTAGACTTTATGAAACGCTCCCGAAATGATTCTTCTTTATAACTGCGAAAATAGTGTAAAAACTCGTTTCTAAGTCCCTAATTGAAGAAAATGATTTCTTATTAGAGTGTCCCTTTACAGGATGTAGCTGAGGACCTCTAATGGTCAGAGTACGGTACTGGCAATCTATACAATAAACTTATGTTTTCATTTTGCTTACAATTGATTGCTCTATTGTATTTAATTATCCAGGTTTTGCAGAAAGTTTAGCTAGCAACCATGAAAAGTGGGAAGTCCTACAGAACTCTGACAAACTGGATTTTCCAGATCCATGGAACAGTCAACTGTCTGAATTTCAGAAACTGAACATTATAAAGGTTATCTATCCTGATAAGGTATGGATGTTTTATCATAAATTAGCCTGTAAGGGTTACACCATTTTTGTTTCAAGGACCTGTATTTGTACAAAAATAAAACATAAAGAATATTACATTCATATGTTCATAATTGAGAATATGTTTAAATTTTGTCCAAGTCAATTTCAACATTAAACTATATAAACCATCTATTGCTCTATATACATATAACAGTCAAAAAGTTCCCGTAATTAATTTCTGTAGACATTTAGCACGATCGCCAGTGGCAAATTCGCCTTATAGTAGTTGGTACGACTTCTGGGGAGAGCATATCGGTAGTGGAGGTATAGCTGACGAGCCGTATTGCAGCATTGGTACCTAAGAAAATCGATATAATTTTAAATATTGATTGTTTGTTTAGTATTTATCAAGGTAAATAATACAAATTACAGGCTTGTTTTATGAATTATTAATTGTGTGTAAAATAAATTCTGTTTCTAATTTTATTTCAATTTTATTTTTAATTCTTTTATAATCTGTTCTGTTTTCATAGGCCTTATGTAGTCCTATGTGTATATATTTCGGTGTTGGAACCCAGTTTATTTTATGAAGAATTGTATGGTGTGATTCATGTATTCTTTTAAAGTTTTTAAATTTGTAAATCAGTAGGCCTATGTCAACCACAAAACAGACGGTCATTGACCATTGTTCTTGGTGTGTATGTGTAAACACTGTATCATCATTATTATTTTATATTGATAAAATACCTTTTTTTCTTCTTCTTCTATTCATAGGTAAGGGATAGCATAGAACAGTATGTAGAGGGCTGTATGGGGAAGCAGTATACTTTGCCCTTTACCCTGGATCTGACCTCTTCTTTTGAGGACTCCAACTGTCTCACCCCTCTACTGTTTATCATGGGTCCCGGGTCTGACCCTGCACCAGCTGTGCGTCAATTTGCTAAAAAGAAACTCTTCCAAAACAGACTTCACACAATTTCTCTGGGAGTAGATCAGGTGAATTCTGTATGGATATTTGTAAGTTGACAACAGTGTTTTGTAATTAATTTTGACTAATAATGAATTGTATTTTCTCAACACAAGGCAATACACTGTCCATTTTAATACTTAGCTACATAATCCTTATAAAAGACTTTTCTGCAACTTTTCTCAGCCCAACTATCGTCTTTTCCTTTCATTCATTATGTTAAGTCAGTCATAATATGATCAGTTTTCTTAGGTACTTCTTAAACATTAACAAAGTTTTTAATATACAGTATACTAACTAGAGTATAAACACTGCTTTAAACTGTCAAAGTGAATGTTAAAACAAGACGTGGAATGTGTTTATGTGGGTTTATTGTATAACCTGTGTAGGACATTAATTAGATGTATGTGCTAAATAAATTTGATCCTTATAGACCATGAATAATAATGTCCAATCTTCTCTCATTTTTCTTATGGGTTCCCTTTTCTGTCACAGTAAAATTGTTATCTTGAAACTTGAAACTAATTTCAAGGCTAAAAAACTCATTTCCAGGCTTGTATTCCAACATTTATTTAAGTGAAATACAGGTTATGAACATATATAAGGACAGTCAAAACATTTGTATTCAAAAACATTGAATACTGCTGATTGTCAGATGCTATGTGCTGGTGGTCGAGTAGTAGCTTCTGATCACAATGAGATAACAGTTAGGACTGAGGATCTATAATGAAAAGGCAATATTTATCTTATTCTCAAAGTAATTCTGACTTACCACAAACAAAAATGAAGTTATACATCTGTCTGTAAAACATTGTATAACACAGTGACTCAGATAATGTTGGATATTTCTGCAGTTTTTATCACAGTGGTGTTGTAGGGTGAGGCAGCTAGCAGACTGATATCCAGGAGTAGAGAAGAAGGCAGTTGGGTGTTGCTACAGAATTGTCACTTGGCTCCAGACTACATGCCTCACTTGGAACGTGTCTGTGACAACCTCACTCTGCTCAATACCAGCATGGAGTTTAGACTTTGGCTTACTTCAGCACCATCCACTCAGGTAGACTCCAACAACATTGCCTGGCATTTTTTGAAACCAGAATTTTAAAAATGTGTGAAAAATTATGAATATTTAAGTTCTGAGAACATTTGAATGTTTCAAATCACAGTTTACCCATCTCGGCTACCTCGAGAATGAACCCTTGTGTGAATATAAAAAGTCTAAACTATAGAAGTTGAAAATTTATGGTTTCAAACCAAATACATTTTGCAAGCAAAATTAGCAATGGTCTCAAATACATAATAACAAAAAATAACAAAAAATCATGCAAGGAAAAGGTGTCTCTAGGGAATAGCTTGTGGCAGACAGTCCCTTTTCTTGTAGGCACACTCCAATGTGTATTTTCTCAAAATGTTTTCACCTTCAATTTCCCTACAATTTCAACTTCAGTTGCAGAATTTCAGAGACAATTTCCTCTGTCCTAACATTGTAAGTTTTAAAACCTTTGACTTAACTAACGAAAATGTCAGTCACCAGATTTGATTGCTTGTGACTTTTTATTTTTAAAACATACCTTTTATGTCAACGTGCCCTTAAACTATCAAGCTCTACCCAAAATGAAACTGTTATTAACATAATGGTCCATTTTGAAGGATGACTGGGGACATGCATGAATGAAGAAGTACGCCATCTTTCAGAATTCAGAAGTTATTTTTTATTTTTCATAGGTGAGCAGGTGTAAAGAACTTGTTAACTTCTTTAGACTGATTGGGTCAACTCTACACTTAAAAAAATATTTATGGAAAATTTACAAATGCTGCTGATTTGAAAACCAAATATTCTTTAACACGTTCGCTGCTGACGACTTCGATCGGAGTCATGCTGTACTGTCACAGCATGTTATACAAGTTGGTCTATTGTGACCTCCGCATTTATCTGGGATCAACTAAACTATATCAGCATGTTGTGCTGGTCCTATACTTTAATTTGGTGTAGGTTGGGTTTAAGTTGGTAGTAAAATTTCCCGTAAAATTCCCTCTGGCAACAGTTTTGTCCCGTTTTCAGGGATTTTCTCTCTTCGAGCCACATTTCAAAGACACGGGCTACGGATCCAGGCAGTGCTGCTATCTGTGAGTTTTTTCAATGAACTACATCCAGACGTCCACTCTCGGTGTAACACAGCACCATCACCACCGCTGTTTTGCCGCTATCAAGACTGAAATATTTTATTGCTATTGCGTTCGCTGATTCACTGGCACGCCGAGGCTGCGTCGCATTTCCTACTGTACTGCCAAAGGGATTCTCGCAGTGAACGTGTTAAGCACCAGCACCCTACCCTGTATTCTAAAATTTTACATTTACTAATTCAATTAATCTTTGTTTGCAGTTCCCAGTGTCTATATTGCAAAGCAGTGTTAAAATCACCACAGATTTGCCTCCTGGGCTGAAGCGAAGACTTTTACTCAGTTTCCAGTCTGAACCTATAATTATTGAAGATTTCTTTTATGGATGTCCTGGTAAAGATCGTGCATTTGCTAAACTTTTGTATTCCCTTTGCTTCCTCCATGCGTCAGTGCAAGAGAGACAAAAGTATGGCCATTTGGGTTGGAACATACTGTACAAGTTTTGTGACACAGACTTTAATATGTCTCTTCAACAGTTGCAGGTAAAATATTTACATTATCTTTACTACATGATGGTATTATAAACTCTAAATTATTTATAAATATTGGAAATTTTGGGAATTTAGTATTTAGTTTTACACACTCACCAGCTATGTTACTGTCTTGAAGGTACGAGGTAATTTCATCAGGTTTACTCACAGCACCCTGCCGCCGAGCGTCCACAAGTTCTTGGCGCCGTACTTCGACACGACTCTTCGATACACCTGCAGTCGACAATTCGTCATATCTTCTCTGGTAGTGATGCCAGTCCCTTTTAACTTATTGTTTTATTCAAAAATCATCCGTCGTGTTCTGTAAGATAAAAATTGTACAATTATTGATCTATGTCGCACCAACTCCTTTCCATGCTCCTTTTCCTGATTTGGCTGACATGATGCGACCGTGAGACATGTCACGGTCCTTTGATCGTCCATTGACACGTCGATTCCTAGTTTTTCACGACACAACTCCAACACCAGAGCGTCTGTATCCTTGTCTTTCTTCTTTTCAATGCTGAATACACGAATGTGATCTAGTCCCTGGTATTGTTCTAAGTCATCAATCTTGCCCTCCAGTCTCCCGTTGACCACCTTCAGTTTATTTAGCAGGTAACCGACCTCGTCTTGCAGCTTACATATCACTTCATTGAAAGTAGCCGATGCCGCTTCCACTGCTACTCGTACAGCCTTCTCCACTGCCGTCTGTTTTGCCACGAGTAGCGCTGCGTCGATGTTATCAGTGCAGCCGGTAGGCGTTGTCTTGGTTTTGGCAGGACTCGTCACTGGAGCTGCAGCGGGGTCTAATATCGAGCGTTGTAGATTTTCTTTTTTGCCACTGGATAGCAGCATCGACTTGACCTCAAAATGTACCTGATCTCAATTTCGGTGGAGAACAAAACATGAAAATTATCTTTTAGGTTAGAAACTTAAAACAACTTTGCAATAACTAATATTAATTACCATTCTAAAGAAGTCAAACAAAGCAAAGATAAACTAAGACACACTATTTACACACTTTTTAATAAATAACTATTAATTTAAATTAATATTTAAGCAAAATTAATGGAACCGAACTGAACACGGATCCACTCTAACAATGTCATCCCTTCCAGAACAAGAGCTTGACTATAGTATTGACATCTGTCGTATCACAAGTCGTTCCCATTTTGAATATTTATAGTTCAGCGTATCTGTGACAAAACCTTTGGAGTTTATCACGACTTGTAACCATTTTATTTCTTTGTATAACAAATAAAACTTTATTTTATGTACACTTGAAATCATGAACATAATTTGTAATAACCCTGCATTTAAAAAATATGGACTTAGGACACAAAATATCACAAGTTTTATCAAAATATTAAATGGTCAGCTTAAGCGCCTGATTTATTTGACATGGAATGACCCTGTAGGATTAATGGTAAAAACAGAGTGGGAATACCATTCCAATGTTTTCCCGCCCCACTCTACTACTGCATATAACCATATCAATATTGGTGGTTACCAATACTAAACTGTAACTAAAAACCATGTGCATCATAAGTTTTCTATCTTGTCTACAGATGTACATCAATGAGTACAAGGACATTCCGTATGATATGATCAAGTATGTGGTGGGTGAGTGCAACTACGGGGGCCGTGTCCAGGATCTGGTGGACCTCAGGCTGTTGCGTACCATCATGGATGACATAGTCAACCCACAGGTGGCAGAAACACCCAATTACAAACTGTCCAGTGTTACTGTGCCTCTTAGGTTTGAGTATCACGACTTCCTGTTAGCCATTCAGGTATGACACCCATTAAGTTTGTAAAACTGTAAAAAATTGTCAAGGTTGTTGTAAGCTTTGTTCAAGGAAGCAATGTTCCTGTACAATAAGTTGACAGATCTTGTAGCATTTATATTACAGTTCAGTTCATTTATATTTGAATATAATAATTTTATGGAAATTTTATTAGTTAGTTAGATAAAATATGTGATCTTCAACTTAGCTTAAATTACCGCTATGGCCATTGAAACTGAAGAAGGTTCTTGGCCTCCACAACAATGCACCTCTAGTCCTCTTGGTCTTAGGCTTGCTTCCAAGTTACTCCCAGACTCCTGCGGTCTTTTGCCACTTTTTTGTTCCATCTTATAGTTTAGGCCTTTTTAACAATCTGGTGCTTGTAGATCTCCCCTCACATACATCAATTATCAATCATTGAGATGGGGACGCCACCTAGGTGCGTATTTTAATCCAAATATGAGTGAAGGATGAGTGTAGAATGGTGTGGGATGATCTGTGTAGCTCTGTTACTGACTAAGATCAGCTGTTTCATTAGCCAGGATCATTTATTTAAAGCCCATCTCTATCAATTGTGTTTTCGGGTCTCCTCACTACGAGGCCTGCCCATCTGAATCTTCTGCTTTTGAAGATAGCATGTCCAGATGTTGGTAGAGGTTTCTTAATTCTTGACTTCTTCTAATTCTCCTTTCCACATTTTTCTTTTACTAAACCACATATTTTTCTTAACACTTGATTTTCAAAAACTATAAATTTCTTTTCTGAGTCTTTGCTTAGAGCTGAATTTTCTCTTCCATAAAGCAGTACTGGTTGAATAGGTGTTTGGTAAATTCTCAGTTTTATCATTTTTGAAATTTGTTTGGAACTTAGTCATTTGGATATAGAATAAAAACTTGTCCTCCCTGCTATCAACCTGCTTTCTACTTTCTCTCTGTTATTTTGGGAAAATTTTACCCCTAAGTAAATTATCTGTGTCTAGATAAATCAATATAATCAACTTTAAGATTATTTTTAAATTTAAATAATTTATTATTCCTTAGTCTTTAGGTATTTGTATTTTGACAATGTCGCCAGTTTTATAGCGTTGCTAATTATGTAAACGTTATGTGAAATAATGATTTATTTATTTATTATGTGGAATTTGTTCTGGTATTGATATTAAGAGATATTTTGTTCCTTTTATTTCAAGTCCAACTTTTTTTACCATTTTCATTCAATTGAAAATAGTCTACAAAGAATTAGATTGAGAATTAAATAACCTCACTACTCATAAACAGGCAGTCTACAAACACACACAAAGGAGTTTTGAATCAGCTCAAGGAGTGTCCGTCTGCTTTCTACTACACTAAACCATTCTACTTACTTGTCACAACCAACAAATGCTTATCCATGTTTTCAATGTTATATAAGCTGGTCAACTTAATGAAGCTGGTATACAGACTGTCCCAAAAGTCCCGGACCGGTTTATTATTTTCTAAACGGCAACAGATAAATCAATAAGATTTGGTACATCAACACCACACCTAAAAATCTACTTTTTTATGGAAATATAAATTTTCTGTCACATCATGGGGACGTCCCGCAAGGAGTCAGAAGGAAATCTTAAATAGAAGCATAGGTTGACATGTACATCAAATTAAAGGTATTTACTAGCAGAATATAATGCTGCAAATTTGAACTCAAACAGACAACCAAGTCAAGAATGACAGTGGTTCAAAGATTCATTTAATTTGCATTTGGGGGCACAGCCCTAGGAATCGGAAAACAAATTTTAACGTAAGCATAGGTCGATATGCACATCAAATTAAAGGTCTTCACTAGTAGATTACAATGCCGTAAATTCAAGCTCAAAAGAACGCCTGAGTAAAAAATGGCAGTCGTTCAAAGATTCAAAATAGCAGGTTCAAGAAATCTTTGAACGGCCGCCATTTTGTAACGGGTGATCCTTTCGATTCGCGGTTTCCAGCATTGAACTCTGCTAGCTAAGCGCTTTAAACTGATGTGCATATTGACCTATGCTCCTATTTAAGATTTCCTTCTGACTCCTCGTGGGACGTTCCCATGATATGACAGAACATTGATAGTTCCTGAAAAAAGTAGATTTTTAAGTGTGGTGTTGATGTGCAAAATCTCATTGATTTATCTGTTGTCGTTTAGAAAATATTAAACCGGTCCGGGACTTTTGGGACAGTCTGTATATTGATATATATAATATATTGTTTTACTAAAAGGAGGGCCACTAACTTGCTAGACAGGACTAATCTGATGCAAGGTTTAAGAGTGAGTACTCAAATCATACAATGAATTTGAGCAAATTTCTTTGTGATAAAACATAACCAATTTTGTATTAGATTTATAATATGAAATTTAAATTTGTGCAAACTTGTATACTTTAATGTTTGCCCATTTACCCAAACAGGAACTCCCAGATAATGTTTCATCTGAGGTATTCGGTCTGAACTTAAATGTGGAAATAAAGCACAACATGGAAATCACTAAAGAACTATTTGAAAATATGGAACTTCTTCAACCTACCTATGCAAAAAATAAATCAACTCTTAAGTCATCTACATTATTCTCGGTGGAATCAATAATGAATAAGGTAATTAATTAAAATGTTTCTTTACTGGTGTGCAATCATGCTGATTGATTATTCAAATACTTTTAGAAAACAAAATAATGGAAACATGTACACAGTTGGTGAATATTTTATAATATCATAATCGTAACAATGAAAAGTATTGAAATAAGTTCACTGTTTTGGGTTATTGGGTCTGAAACAGCTTTTTACATCCTCTATTTGATTAACTCTGCTTCTGGTAGCTACAAATCTCTGTACTGGCAGGCCATTTTTTACTGTATGTACATAGGTTACTTTAGAGCTGTATAAATTGTGTTCTACCATACAAAACTATATATACTTTTATCTATTTTATTTTCCAGGCTATTGCAAGGAACAAATTTAAACCATTGACAGATCCAAAAATAATTGTGCAGAACTGTTTTAATGAAAATGGGCCTGTAACATTTTTCTAAAGTAGATGCTTGGGAAAAATCCAAAATATTTTTTTATTAGAAATCCAAGATATACAAAACTTTTAGAAAATGGTTCTTTACATGAAAAAAGTCATATTTATTATTATTTGTATATAAAAAATATAAGAAAGAATGTTACGTCACACCACTCTAAACATGCAGTTGCGTGATTTTCTACTTTTTAATTCTCAACTTTCAAGATATTGTTACTTCACAGTAACTAAACAAACTGCAGTATATATCAGGATTAACTTTAGAATATCCTGTGTAAAATTATATAAAGCAATTTATAATACAGTGATGTCTTCTGTTGAAACTTGGCAGTTAAAGAAATTGATGCTCAAACGACTAGTGACTACTCGATTGCCAGTGGAGGAACTAGTTTTAGAGACTAGTCAATAGTCGTTTGCCAGATGCAGGGTAAAAAAATTAGAAATTACAAATATCACAATCTACCCTTTT